GTGGGATTTGCAAATTCCCAGTTGTCCGATTTACAGAGGTTACTCTGTCTGATTTTCGTCTCCGTCCAATAAGAATTAGATTAGAAGAAGTATGCAATGTGATATGTCATGTGAATTAAGATTAATGAAAAAAAAAAGAAAAGTTAGCTCGTATTTTCGTAAGTTAAGTCTTCCGCTGTTTCTATTTGTATCATATGTATGTTAATTGAACCAGCTCGAGACGGAGATGTTACAGGCAGATTGATAGATAGTTTGCAATAAGGGACAAAATGGTTATTAAATAATTAATGAGGGGCAAAAAGGTGAAAAACCCTAGAGTTCTCCTCTAATTATACCAACGAACCTACGATACTCTTCTAGGAAATAGTATTCCTTTGACTAAGATTTTATGTACTCTTCGAAGAAAAGAAAATCTTTATTTGTAATTATAGAGAAAAATATCTCTATATACCAGAACTATGTGTTAGGTTTACAAATGATAACCAAGACAAACTCTGCCAATCAACCGAGAGTGAAATTAGAAGTTAACTCTTTATCTTTACACACAACAATATATAATCATGATTAGAGTGAGTTGCAATGCAACTCAGTGAAATAATAAAAATTATATTAAATAGGACTTGACAATATATATAAAATATATTTAGAGATTAATATTTCTCATATTGTATGTGATAATTATATCCCTTACATACACATAAAAGTGTGTGAGTCCATGTAAAGAGAACAAAGAGAAAAGAAATATGGACCTCACACACTTTTATGTGTATAAGAGATAATTTTATTTCATAAGAAAATAAACCAAACAAAAAAATTAATTAGTTCTCAAATCTTGGTTTGTACCAAATCATTTTAAGGGAATGAGTTTCTACTGATGCAGGAGAAACTCGTCCCCTCCTCCACAAACAAAAAAAGTCTCTTCAGTCTTTTTTTTTTAAATTGCGGGTCCCAGGATTTCACGAGTCTGCAGTAGAATTATAAGTTTCTCATATAATATAACAGGAGAAACTTATAACCCATCATATTATACATATATAATGTCATAACCTAACTTTGAGTACATGACCAGTGCAAGGTAAACTAAATTTTTTCATTTGCTAGGATGGCAAGCCTAATTTTTATGAACATACTATTAAATTTGTCAAAATTTTACAATTAACCTGCTTGTAGAATTAATGGAGCAACTCTAAGAATAGTAACCTACTATCTTCTATACCAAATAAAATATAAACCTTGCTCACGCGAAATGATGTGTCAGGCTCACCATTGGTAACCAAACAAACTTCCACGATTAAACTAGAGGAGTAAAATCAAAAGTTGACTCTATAGCTATACATATATTTGATGTCAACGAAAAGGAATTCTAAGACCTTCTATTGAATCTTGCACACTGTACTGGTTCTTGCGAGTAATATCAATGACCTCCTTTCAATACTTACTAAAGTTTTGGACTGCATACGTTGAACACTGCTTATTCCAGTAAGAGGTGTGACACCATCACCTATACCTCATTCCCATCACTTCTATGTTTCTATCACTTCTCATTCCAATATCATGGAACCAAATCATAAGACCCACGAAAACATTAAAAAACTAAAATTGAACCAAATCTTGTAATAGCAATGCAGTAGTAACTTCGACCACCTTTTAGGGTCCTTTTTAAAACACCAGAGAATGGTCAAATCCAATGTTTGTAACTCTAGATATGACCCAAACTCCAATAGTGGTTTAGAGTCCATAACAGTACATGTGTAGTACTTTCACGCTCCATTTAAGGTCCCCTAGAGTGAGAAATAGGTCCTAAAACCTCTATGAAAGTTGTAAATATTCTTCTAAGCTTTTCATCAAGCCAAAGATCATTCAGATTCTTGGAGCAAAGCTCAAGATATAGTCATATTACCGAGACTATGTTGATTTATGCGACAACACAACTATAGTATCTTTGAGCTCAATTTAAGGTATCTTAACTCTAGAATCATGCTTGGATGTCTACATCAAAGTTGTAGAGTTGTTTATAAGATTTCCAGAATGATATAGAATTCCCAAAACTGAGGTTTGTAGCTCAAGATATGAGTAAAAATATAACCATGTTTGGTTATGACTGGAATTGATGGGTTCAATGGAAATAAAACTCAAACTTGAGCTTATGTTTTGGGTGACTAAAATGAAATAACTCACAACTTTTTATTATTATTAACACTAATTCCACATTTCTTTCATGAATAGTTTGAAATTAAAAGAAAGATGGTGAGGAAATTTGTAAAGAATTAGGGAAGACAAAGCTCTGAGAATAACATTCATGTTTTCAAGGTCTGAATGTCTTCCCTTTATGTTAAAATATAACATGTTCTTGTTTATAAAGCTACACATATGGGCCATAGGAAATTATAAATAAAGATAAGAGTTATGATATAGCAAGGATATGCAATACAAAGAAACAATAAGAGCCATGAAAATTTTATCTAGTTAGCCCCACAAGAATAGTTGTACAATTATATATAGGCTCAAAAAATCTATTTACCAAGAAAATAAATCTTGGAATTTTGATAAGTGTTACATACTCCCCTCCTTAAATAAGAATTCATCCTTGAATTCAAAAGAGTTTACAAAACCTTAAATATATATCGATACTTCATATGTTAGAACTTCAATTCAGACGTGACTTTCTTACCTATATGATTTTCCGTATATATTAACCTCTTGATTTCAATCTTATCCTTAGTGATCATGAATAATTCTAATCCCAAGAAAAATTTCATTTATTATTGTTAAAAATTTTAGGTGTAAAATAACCATTTCTAAATTTAAGAACAATATCAAGCCTCCCCACTAAAAACAATGTTATATAAGTTCTTAAGCTTAATAAGTCAAAGTCTATTAATAAGAAACTAAACATAATTCAAACACATTACTATTTCATATTCGTATCAAGAGCAAGTGTCTCTTTTTACTAATCCATCTTACATAATAATGAACTAGATGTCACAACCGATAGACAAATCAAGATAAGACAGATGGATCCCTCAAGTACAAGTAAAGAAGATTACAATCGAAGATCGATATCTGGTTCTCCTCTATTATTTTTGTCTTCGGTGTATCGGGTTACTTGAATCATTGATGGATTAGGATCTTAATAATTTTGGTGTTGTGGAGCAAGTTCTCATAGAGGTCTCAAGAAAGATGTTTTCGTACAAGAAAGCCATGGATTCTGCCAAGGAGGAAGAGAGGAAGACCGCAGAGGAGGAGGATACCGATCAACTGGAAATGAGTGTGAAACGTCTGAAGGAATCCATGACAGAAGACCTACCTATGGATGATGCCATGACATAAAAAGTTGGTCTAGAGGATCCGAAAGATGGCACTGGAGAGATGGTTGGTCGGAATAATGGAACTGTGTATATTACTGCAGGACGTAAGGTGCTGTCCTATAAAGATAAAGTGTTGTCCTTAAATGGTCAAGGTGGGGAATCGAACTCTGAGGAGGAGGACTGGATGGAGAGACAAAGAAGAGAAGAGGAAGAGGATGATATGGAAGATGTTGCCACAGAGAACGATCCTCTGTGTCCTACCTATAGGTTTTCTAAAAGTAGGCATAAGAAAGATTGTGAGCAGTGGAGTAAAGCCCTTATCATAAAATTGTTGGGGAAAAGGATAGATGCGAGCTACCTTATGGGAAGACTGCAGAAGATATGGGGTTTAGTTGGAACCTATGAACAATATTTCTTGGACAATGGTCACATCCTGCTGAAGTTCTTTGATGAGAGGGACTATCGTCATGTCCTTCAGGACGGACCTTGGATCATTTTTGACCACTATTTGGTGGTGTAGAGGTGGAGGTCTCTATTCAATCCGTATAATGATTCTACCAGGAAGCTTATGGTCTGGGCTTGAATTGGAGGTCTACCCAAGGAGTTCTACTCATCTTACCATTTGTGGCGGGTTGGAAACCTCCTAGGGAGGACACTGAAGGTAGACAAGAAGTCGGTCAGGAGGAATGATGATGGGAGTGGAGAAATTATTGATAAAGCTAGGTTCGCTAGGATATGTATTGAGGTGGATTTAAGGAAGACCCTAGTTCCTTCTTTCAAGCTGGGAGAAGATGCCTATTAGGTTGGTTACGAGGGCTTGCATATGATATATTTTTCCTGTGGGAAATATGGCCACAAACAAGACTAGTGCAAGCAGAGTGAAGAAAGGAACCAGGTGAAAGAGCATGTATCCACGAGGATCCTGGAGAATCCGAGGCCTGGGAATATGGAAGTGGAAGAAGCTTGTAAGGAGCAACTAAAGGGAGTCGAGGCCTTTGGGGACTGGATGGTGGTCCAAAGAACCGGCAAGAACCGTCGGCTAAAGCCTACACCGGCGACGATGAATGGTGGAGAGGGTAAGCAACCTAGTATACCAAGAGGACACACAAACCGAGCCAACGCGAAGTTAGACTGCGGTGTGTCAGCTACAACCAGCGTCCCTATTAAAATTGTCACTGCCTTAGAGGAACTAAACAATGCAGTATCCTATGTCAAGAGGAATACTAAGGATAGTGGATCAGAGATAAAAGGTCCAAGGTTATCTGATAAAGTGAAAGAACCCTTTCATGGGATGGGACTATCAAAAGGTAGGCATGAAACACTTCCCTCCAAGAAAGCTAAGAATAGGAATGTGGATCCCTCTCCCATCCAACCAAAACAACGTAAGGAGAAAAGAGCTTTGCAGCAAGGGTTGATAATTTTAAAAAGACAGGAGGTTGGGAGTAGTTCCCTGGGGCCTAACACCGTAAGAATCCCTCCCTCCGATGAATTTCCTAAATTAGGACCTGACCTATCTCAGCAGAAGAATGAAGAATAAAGGAAAGAAAGAGAAATCCTTGAACTGATGAGAAGATCAGATAGACATCAGGATAACATGATACTAGACCGAAACCTAGTAGCAGCTAATACTGCTATGGGACCAACGTAGCCCTTCGTCTTGTCCGTCGGCTCCCCTCCATTGTTAGGGTTTCTATGATTAAGTGCAGCTGGAATTGCAGAGGGGTAGCTAAGAAAGGCTTCTTGGCACCCATTCGAGACCTTAAGTCTCGTTTTAATATTAGTTTATTGGCCCTTTTGGAGACTAAAATCAGCGATGATAAGGCTTCTAAGATTAGCTCCAAGTTTGGTTTTAGTAAAGTCCACCGACAAGACCCCATTGGATTTTCTGGGGGTATTTGGCTGATGTGGGATGAGGTGGAGTTTTCTCTGCAGGTTCTCAAGTCTAACCACCAATTTATCCATTCTAAGATCAGTTACCATAACCACACCAGAGATGAATACATCACTATGGTGTATGCTAGCCCGCAGAGGCATGAGAGACGAACCTTATGGAAGGATATGATGGACCTGAACGTTGATAGCTCTTCCTCTTGGATTGTTATGGGCGACTTTAACTCCCTTTTGGACCCCACTGAGAAATCAGGGGGTGGCCTTTTCTGCTGGGGAGCTTCCCTGAAATTTAGGGAGTGTCTCGGAGCTTGCAATATCCAAGACTTGGGGTGCAATGGACCTTCCTTCACGTGGAAGAGAGCTGGGTTACAAGAAAGGTTGGATCGTGTGTGTGTAACTGAGGCTTGGAGCACTCTTTGGCCGAATCATTTCGTCCTTAATCTCCCCTTCTATAACTCCGACCATAGACTGATTCTTGTCATGGATGAAGGAGCCAGAAACAGGTCCAATGGTGACATGAGCTTCAAATTTCTGGCGGCTTGGCTCACGGATGACAGCTTTGGGAATGTAGTGAAGAATTGTTGGAGCGATGACAATGTCTGGTTCTCTAGATCTGACAAGTTCAAGGCAGAAGCTTCACATTGGCTTGAAACCACGTTCAGTATGCTGCAAAAACAGAAGAGCAGGATCCAAGCCAGACTGAGAGGTATTGACGTGAGGCTTGATCTGCATCCGGATGAAAACTTGGAGCTCTTAAAAAAGTCTCTTTGGTATGAGCTCGAAGTGATCCTAGTCCGTGAAGAAATTTCGTGGTTCCAGCGAGCTAAATGCAATTGGTTAGAACTGGGTGAGAGAAACACCAGATATTTTCATGCTATATCAGTGGCCAAACGTCGTAGGAATAAGATTCTTACTTTAAAAGATGATAATGGTGTCTGGTTGGAGGATGCTAGAAGAATTGAAGAATATGCTGTTAACTTCTTCGAAAGGCTCTTTGGTGATTCGGAAGACAGCTGCGAACCCTTGCCTTTCAATGGTGGCTTCCCTAGGATTGGCAATGGCTTGGAAAGTCTTGGGAATGTCCCTTCCAACTCGGAGATTAAGCAGTCTATCTTTAATATGGGGAAATTTAAATCCCCAGGCCCTGATGGGCTAAATATGTTGTTCTATCAATCCTAATGGAGTGTGGTGGGAAATTCCTTCTGTTCTCTGATCAAATCCATCTTTCAGAACCCCTCCTTGGTCCAGAATATCAATCTTACCTCTATTTACTTGATCCCAAAAGTGGACAATCCAGAATCCTTCAACCATTTTAGGCCTTTCAGTCTATGTAACATTTCATACAAAGCCATTACTAGAATCCTTGCTAACCGCCTTAAATTTTTCCTTCCAAGAATTATATCTCCAAACCAATGCAGCTTCATTAAAAGGGAGGATTGGTGCGAATAATGTGGTGGTAGCGCAGGAAATTATCCACTCCATGAGAAAGAAGAAAAGGAAGGTTGGTTGGATGGCAATTAAGCTGGATCTTGATAAAGCTTACGATAGGTTGGATTGGGACTTCATCCGTGACACTTCATCCGTGACACTATGGTTGATGTGGGCTTGCCACCAAACCTGATTAAGCTTAAAGATGCTTGCATTTAAACCCCAACTATGAATATTATTTTGAATGGTAAGGGAACTAGGTACTTTAAACCTAAGCACGAGATCCGTCAAGGAGATCCTATCTCTCCTTACCTCTTTGTAATGTGTGTTGAGAGGTTGGCTCACCTAATCCAGATGGCCATGCAGACTAAGGCGTGGAAACTAGTGACCTTAAGTAAGAATGGTTCACCAAATCCCATTTGATGTTTGCGGATGACATTTTCCTGTTTTGTGAGGCTTCGATGGACCAAGCCCATTTGGTTAATCAAATCCTTCGTACCTTCTATAGTGCTTCCGGTCAGCGGATAAGCAATGCTAAATCAAAAGTCTACTTCTCCAAGAATGTTTGCTTCCCTGGAGCTAAACAGATCAACGGATGTATTGATTTTGGGATAATAGGAGACCTAGGTAAATATCTGGGAATCCCCTTGCACCACAAGAGAGTATCCAAGGATTCCTGCGAGTATATCCTGAGGAAAATGAAGGATCGCTTGAACTCTTGGAATCATAATGCCTTATCTTTGGCTGGGAGAATCACCCTTGCTAAATCTGTGTTGAGTGCTCTCCCCTCCTACAGTATGCAAACGACTGCTCTTCCAACCTCGTTGTGAAAGGATATTGACAGATACACTCGAAGCTTCATTTGGGGCTCATCGCTATCCCAAAGAAAGATCCACTTAATTAACTGGGAGAAGCTGTGCAATCCTAAAGCAACAGGTGGTTTAGGATTCAGACAAGCTAGAGTGGCTAATAATGCTCTAATGATTAAAGTAGGACATAGACTGCTGGTAGAAAAAGATATCCTGTGGAGTAAAGTTCTGAGAGGGAAATACAATGTGGGAGATGACCTAATCCCCAAGATTAGTAGAGGTAAGGGAATCTCTAATTTCTGGAAGGGGATTGTTAACTGTTGGGCTGATGTGAGAAAAGGATCTAGAATAGCGATTGGGGACGGGCATGGGACCATGTTCTGGTATGATAAATGGATTCCCCACATCGATAACTTACTTGAGGTAGCCATTGCTCCGGTTACACAGGAAACGCTGAGCAATAGTAAATGTGAAGAAGCAATCTTTTGCCAATGAGCAATAGTAACAAGAATGACATGACAAAAACCCCTAAAGGGTGGCTCAACTGGTAAGTGAATTGTGTCAAAGGAGCAAATTGTTGGGCTTGTAAAGTTTCTGTTTTGAATCCTAAGCAAAACTACTTGGGGCCAATGGAAAAAATCTTCACGCTCTATACCACGAAGGGGATTAATCTCATCCAAATGGGTGAGGACACCCTAGGAAACCAAAATACTGCAAAAGTAGTTGACAATGATGCCATATCTATGCTTAATGGTGCCATTTGTTAATCCTTCACCTAAAAAACTTTATTGGAAAACTATGAGTTTCTTTCATGCCAAGTGTATAAAGAAATAATAGCGCCATTTAAGGAAAACCCCAAGTCACTTCTTCTACTATGTCAACAACAATTTGGGATGATTTTGGACCTTAACTTTTGTCATTATTGTACAACGTATTGGACTAGAGTGTTGACTCCTAGCTTGGTCCACTGAAGTTGGCTAGAAAATAACGAGTATGATGGCTTAGGCTTTAGACCAAGGAAGTTGTTGAGGCATTTAACCATGGCTATTTTGTTAACTCTAGTGTTGAGGAGATCAAGCTCATGTAGAATGCAAGTGCCCATGTTCATTTTTTCTAATTCCATAGCCTCTGTAAAGCTAGAAGAAGATGACAAGTTCAACTAGAGAATTCTCGCCATTTTATTCATTTTCAAGGAAGAGAAAATCAAAGGAGTATATGTTGAGACTTGTATTCCAAACGGGGCATAGCACATGATATATAAAGGTTAAAGTTCTTTTCCTCTTGGTGCCTATTTTGGAGCTTTTATTTTTAACTTCTCTTTTCCTTATAAATAATTTATCCAAACATACTTTTGCAAAAACTCTTATCATAAAAGTACTTTTTTTATAAAGAAGAAAAAAGCTTTTTTGAGTTATCAATTTTTGTCAGCTTGAGGTTGGAGTTATTAATTTCATTACTAAAAGCTACTATGAGGAACTTTTTTTAAGATGTATGTCAGCTGTTTGGAGTTCTCATATTTATTTTCCAATTATATCCTCAATCTAAACTTATATTATAAATTTTATCATTTACATAATAATTTACCCTAATAATAAATTATTTCATCTCACTCCTTTCAAAACTTTGATAGCAACTTTATACAATCATCAAAAGCTTTTAGCTTATTTTTTAATCTCTAATTTTTAAATTTAGCTTAAAAGTAACTTTTAGCTTAAAAAAAAATGTGTCAAACAGGCTCTTGGTCTTCAAGAATCCATTTTTCTATACAAGTCCTTGTCAATGGAGCTTAATGATGTTTTTTTTACTGTTTTTGAATCATGTGAAATTGCTATTTGTTTGTTCTTCCATTTTTTGTTGCCAAGTACTAGCATTATCCTTGATGGAGTTAAGGACAATGAGGCTTTGGTGAAGCTCAGAGTGTCCGTATTCACGTGAATGAAGCTTGAGGCTGCTCCATTTTAAGGTGCCAAAGTACAATTGATGAAGTCATAAAGTGAGGCAAAAACACCGTATTGCTAATATTAAGCAAAAATATCTCCTGTTCAAAGCACATGTAGAATATTTGGCCAAAGTAGAGCAGTCAGTCCCGTCACTTTACTTGACGCATTCAGTTCCGTCAGTATTGTTGACAGGATTTGTTTCCATGTCAGCAATCTGCACCAATTCGAGCCACGTGTCAAATATTCGTTGAGTCTTGTCATAGTAGTTGACCTTCGTTGAGTCTTGTCACAATAGTTGACGGGACTAGAAGCCACATAGGCCATTCTTGTCAACATAGTTGACAGGACCCAAAGGAAAAGTACTTTCATAATTTCTTATTTCATTACTATACTAAGTAATTCAGTTTACTATAAGAATTTATTATTTCATCCTGTCACATGTAATCATTCTTATACTAATTCCTCATTTCAAAATTCAGTTTACCAAAAAACAAAAAAAACACTTTCAAAAATTATATTTATTATTTAGCCTAAACACTAATTGTAATTATTTCATAAATTGTTTATATTGAGCCTAAAACGACGTAGTTTTGAGGCAGAAATCAAGATATTTTTGTAATTATAATTTATTTTAGGATTATAATAGTCTTTTTCATTATAATTTTTTAATCCAAAACGACGTCGTTTTAGAAGCAAATATAGATAACTTATATACATTTACTTTAGAAACATTAAAGCCATTCATTATATATACAATTCATCATACTATAAACAATTTGGTAAACATATATAATGAATTGCTGTATAAACAATTCAGCATACTATAAACAATTTGGTTAACATATATAATTCATTACTTTATAAAACAAAAATCTCGCGATGGATTAGAACGAGATTTCTGCCCTTCTTTCCCTTCAAATTGCGATTACGATTTGATAGACATAATAGAAAACTAGGTTGACTAAGAAGATAGGTCATGGAATTTTTTTGAGTAAACTGAAATAAGGAATATAAACTTGAATCCAGAACAAATTTGGAGGAAAAAATATGCAGATCTCAAACCTAGAGAGAGACAACGAGGAAATGAGAGAGTAAAAATTTGAATTATAAAAAATAATTATAAACTGTTAGATTTAACTCCAATTTAACAGTTCTGAGATTAATTATAACTTGTAAGATGATAAATTTACTTGATGATAAATAATAAATATAACCGTACCCTAAAATGAGTACTTATGACGAAATTTCCATCAACATTTCTTACACGAGAGCGTCCGAATCAAATCCGTGCACATGCGTGAATTGTCCCATACATTCTTCTGCGTTATTGCATTTTCAAACAAACCTCCTTCTCCCTCTTTTCCCAAACCCTAGAAAAATGAAACACTGATACTCTCGCGCTCGTGATTACAATGCAATTTCTTCGAAACTAGGGTTTATTCTTCTTCTTCTTCTTATTCTCTTTGACCAATGGTCGGAAAAACCATGGCCGCGACATCGCGCGAAAAGCTCGCGAGTCTCTTGAACTCTGCCAAGTTGGCCATCGACATTCCCTCCAAGCTCGAATCGTTGCGTCAACTGAGGTACGAGTTTCCTCAGGAAGACCCCGTTATTCTCACCGAGTTCCTCCCTTCCCTCTTCGAGTTCCTCTCTGATCGCTTCAGTCCCGTTCGCAAATTCGTCACCGAGTACGCTTCATTCTCACCTTTTCCCCCATCACTTTTGAACTTTGATGATCAAATTGGCGTGTGGAATTGAAATTTGAGGTTGTTGCAGGATGCTTGGTGAGATTGGATTGAAGAACACCGAGTTCTTGGCTGAAATTGTGCCTGAGCTGATTGCCGTCTTGGATGATGAAATGCCACCTGTTGTTCGACAAACGATACTGTGTGGAATCGATTTGTTTCGCTCCACGCTTGAGAAAATCGCGATTCAGGTGTGTGTTCTGTTTTTAACCGTGAGCTTTAGTTCGGTTAATCGTTCTTGTAACAAAATTAATAATGTATCTGATGAATTAATGATATAAGTTGTTATTGTGTTCGGCTGTCTCCTGAATGTTTGCTTGTTGGGGTAGATTTTGTTCTGTCAGTGTTATGGTGTTGCGTGTTGTGTGAATTTTATTCTGAAATTCATACAACTGAAAAATAATTCAAGAATTTAGACATTTTTTTTTTTTCACACACTGGGATAGATGTTATTCTGATTTCTTCAGAAGTTAACATTCTACCTTCTGGTAGAGAATGAGGGTGTTCATGAGGTGAGTGCAACGTTGATTAGTGAGATTAAGATTTATTTATGAATCAAAGAAATACGAAAAAGTGAGGGAAGGTAGCATTGATAAAAACATGGTTTTTATTGGCTTTATGATTTGGCCGCAGCCAACCATCCAAATCTGGTTCTAATCTTCATTTCTTTGGAAAGTGTTTGATTTCTTTGAACTTTATTCCCCGGTCTTCTTGGTACAACATTGTAACTAGAACATCTTACATAAAGCTATTACATTTCTTGAGAGAAAATGAGAGAAAGAAAGAGAAAATCTGAGGGAGAGACAAAGAGAACATTCTGGAACTCAGCCATTGTATTGCATGCGTAAAAATGAAGTCAAGTTATAGAGATCAGATACCTCTATGATACAAATACTAGTTTAAGCTGATGACTCATCATGACAAAACCTAAACTGAAACTAGTTATACAAAACGCATGGGTTAAGGATCACTATCAAGTGATCCCAAGACTATAATAACTATTATACACATCATCTAAAGAAATTACAGTGGGGAACTGAATATTAACAGAAGGGAAACTCCTAATTCACTAATATTCCCCATCAAACTCAGGAGGGTTGAGCTGCAATGCAGAGTCAAAGACTTTGAGTTTGCATCTAATCTCAGAGAAACGGGCAGGAGAGAGGGCTTTGGTGAGTGTGTTAGGAACTTGATCTGCTGCAGGGACATGAGAGACAATTATCTCCTTATCTAAAGCTCTTCCTATGACAATATGAATATCTAGCTCCAACTGCTTAGTGAATGCATGAAGTGCAGGGTTGTGATAGGGAAATTGCACTAAGATCATCACAAAATACATGGGGAGTGAGCAATGGGATTTGTTACTCATGAAGGAGGGATTTGATCAATAATATTTCAACACAAGTGAGAGCCAAACTTCAGTACCTTGCTTCAACCGTGAATCTAGCAACTGTGGATCTAGCAACCAAGGTTTGTTTCTTGGACCACCAAGATATCACAGTGGGACCCATAAAGATGCAGGAACCTGTTACCAAAAAGAAAAAGATGCAAGAACCACATGTGGACCTGCGGTCATCTAGGTCACTTGCCCAGTCCACATCACAAAAGGCAGTAAGAGATAAATGCCGCTTTGAATTGGTAGCACAAAGTGATAAGCCAAAAGTTCTAGTTCCTTGAAGATACCTCAATATATGTTTAATCACCTTCCAATGATCATCTAAGAGTTGGCTCATGAATTGGCAGACGTTGTTGACTGCGAAACTAATTTTAGGCCTTGTGATTGTTGCATATTGGAGAGTCCCAACAATGGATCCGTAGAAATGAGGATCAGAGAATTAATTGGAACCAAACTTAGATAGTTTACATAGTAGTTAAAAGCGGATTGCGGTTGCGGAAATTGCGGAATGGATTAATAGAACCTATATATACCACACATGTATATGCTAAACAATAAAAATCAATAATATTAGGAGACCAGATCAGTATTGATCTTTTTTTTTTATTGACAAAAAAAAATCGGAGACCAGAAAAGAAAAAATAGGAGGTCAGAAAAAAGAAGTTAGAGGTCAGAAAAAACAAACCAGAAAAAAAAAGTTCAAAAATAATAACCCAGAAAACAAAAACAAAATAAGAGGCTAGAAAAAGAAGTCAAAATCATTACCTAAATGAAGAGAGGAGAGATGATGAGTCAAGAGGGAAAATAGGAGAAGCAGCCCACTGCCAATGTTGTTCAGATGAGTCAAGAGATAGAGAGAGAGAATAGAAGACGTCAATTGAGATAATATTCATTTTGTTCAAAGTGATTGTAACAGTAAATTTATGACTCTGAATTTTGTATGTATAAAATTATATATATATCTTAAAGGATAAAAAAATATGTGGCTCACTAGGACAAAACATAATTTACTAATTCTTTTATATAGCTTGATTGTTTAATTTTTTTTTTTTAAAATAACTATTTAAAATTTGAATAATAGCTTTTGATATATTTCTTTACCCATAAAAAATAAGTCATTAGCTTTTGTAACTATTGCTCGTGACTCATGTGGGAAAAAATATATTAAAATATATCGAAACCCAATAGAAGTCATGTGGGTTTGTGGGTTTGTTTCGACGTCTTCAAATTTATAACGTAGAAGAGAGAGAGAACTCCATTTTTTAACGCATAAGAGAGAGAAACCTCCGATTTCATTTTGAACCTCTTTCAGCCGCGATTTTTCGCCGATACAGCCGCGATTCCTCCGCTATTTCGGCCGCTACAGACACTATCACTTTCCGGCGCAGTGCGGAGTGGTTTCTCGCGGCTGACCACCACAACCCGCGAACGGAGCGAGTAGCACCGCTTTTAACTTCTATGATAGTTTATAGTTAGAAGGCATGGGAGTTGAAATGGACTTTGCTTCATGCATTTCAGCCTTGGTGAGAAGATCTCTTACATATTTAGTCTGGGTGAGGAATAAAGAGCCAAGGATCTGCATTTCACTTCAATTCCAAGAAAGTAATCAAGCTCCCCAAGATCTTTGAGTGCAAAGGCAGAATTGAGATGAGAGATCAAGTGTTGTATAAGAGCTGAGTCATTGCCAGTAACAATGATAACATCTACATAAACCAACATGTGGATACATTTAAGATCAGTTTTGTAGATGAATAAAAAACGATCACAAGAACTGGACTTAAATCCAAGAGACACCAGGGATTGTTGGAGCTTGTCAAACCAAGCCCTTGGGAGTTGTTTTAGTCCATAAAGAGATTTATGCAAGCGCCACATTAATGACTTGTCCTTGGCTTCAAAGCCAGGAGGTGTAAATATATGGCAGTCACCACCAATGTATCACCACCAAAAAATATCAGGAAATGAATTAGAAAATGCCAGCAAGAATTTACATGTAAACTTTTTAATATCTTATAGCAGTGTTCTCTCATATCTCATAGCTCATGCTTTCGTGTATTCTAGGTATACATGTTAAGATATGAACATTAACGTTCTGATTTTATTTTTTTCTAGGGTCTATATTCTAGTGATTTAGACAGTGCACTTCAATCTGCATGGACATGGATGGTTAAATTCAAAGACAAAGTACACTCAATAGCTTTTCAAGTAAGTAATTGCTCTCTTCAAAATGTGAATTTACTTGTTTTGGTATATGGTCTGATGTTTGTACTCTTAACATTCTTAAAAGCATGGAAGTGGTGGTGCAAAGCTGCTGGCACTGAAATTTGTTGAAACAGTTATTCATCTTTACACACCTGATCCTAATGGTTCGTCGGAGCCAAATTCTCATCAAGGTATTCCATTTTGAGTTTGGCTTAACAGTATCATAAGGCTTTAAATAGATGGTTGTGCCAATCTGTTGCTGTTATCATAATCCTCAAATTACTTGCTTATGCAGCTTCGTACTTTTTTATAGGAAGGCCCATGGAATTTAATATATCATGGCTGAGGCGGGGTCATCCTGTACTTAAAGTTGGAGATTTGTCAATTGAAGCCAGTCGTAGTTTGGGTCTCTTACTTGATCAACTCCGGTTTCCAACTGTGAAGTCTCTTAGTAACTCAGTGATCATTGTGCTAATTAAAAGGTATTTGATCTTTCCTTTTATGCCTTTTGAATCAATATGACCTCTTGGAAAGTCACATGACTTTATGTTCTAAGTCAAACGACATGCATGATGATCAGATGGTAAGTATTTGCTTGCTCTTCTTTCTCTCTCTCACATGCACACAAACACTAACACTCTCTCACACACACTGATTATTGTGGTAACCAAAGGTATTTGATCTATTCTTTTATGCCCTTTAATTTTCTGCCTAATGTGACTGCTTAAAAAGTCACATGACTTTATATTCTAGTCCAATCCTGATGACAAATGTTTGACTATCAAATGGCCAATAATTCCTCAAATATTCTTTCTCATACACACATGCGCATGATGCGTTTATTTTGTTAAAACTTCCTACAACATATGCATGACGATTAGATGTGGTCAATATTTGCAAACTTCTCTTCCTCTCACGCACATGTGTGTGTGTGAGAGATAGGACTTTTAGCACTCCAATAAAATCTTATTTGACTAGATTTTGTTTGGAAGAAAACTTGCATTTCATTTTGCAATGTTTTGACATTCAAATTGAGGATTCTTCTATGACTTTAATTAACTTATTTTTATTAACTGCAATTTCTGATAGCTGTTAACATTGCTTGTAAAATTCATTGCTCTGGATTTTACTTTCTTACTCTTGACTTCCTTATTTTTCTATTCCCAGCCTTTCAGCCATTGCAATAAACAGGCCTGCATTCTATGGCCGTATCTTGCCAGTTTTGCTCAGTTTGGAACCCTCAAGCTCTGTTGTTAATGGGGTCTGTGTATCAGCTGCACATCTTGCTTTGAAGAATGCCTTTCTTGCCTGCTCGAAATGTACACATCCAAGTGCTGCTCCGGTATTTCTTTCAGACTAATATGTGCTTGACATCTTGATTGCTTAATCTTAATGTGAAGTTTTAGTTATTATTTCTATTCTTTGGTCTATGCCAACGATTACAAAGTTCTTCACGTTAACATCATGAACAGGTTCATATTTTGCATGTCATATAAACCATTTGAAGGAAAGTGGAAGTGATAGGAATTAATAGGGTAGACTTAGAGTATTCTTGGTGGATCAATGGTAGAAAATAGGCTGATTGAAGGTTTATTGGGTGTCCAATAGGTTAAGGGGGATTTTCTGGCATTTAGCAGTAATTTTGCAGACAACTTGATAATTGGAAGGGAGCTTTCTTTTGTCTTCAGTCTGGAATCTGGATCGCCTTAATCACAGCTTGTTTGGCGTGTGTCCTGATATACACTGTCACTTTATCATTCCAATGCGGCTTTCTCAAAAGATTGAGAAAAATCATGAAAAATATTGTGGTCATGACTTGGAACTTGGAGATTCAAGGAGGGATTGTCTTGTTAATTGAGAGGCTTCTTGCAAGCTGTTGGAACCAGGTGCAACAGAAAGTAGTGAGGAAAAATAGAAATGGAATTTCGTGTAGTTTGACCCACAACATACTATAGGCCTACATGAATGAGTGAAATTAGGGTTGGCAATTTTATCCATTAATCCACCATCCGTCCATCCATCTAACCCATCCATATGCAGATATAAACCCAATCTACTAAATTAAAAAAACATTGATTGGATAGGTTGGGTCAGTTGATGGTTAATAGGCCATCCAACTCTTGATTCCCTAGAACAAAAAGGAATTGACCTATTTTCTGTTGCTCCCAACATTTTCTACCTAAGTCTAAAGCCCAACATCAAAATTATTCAAAAAACACGGAATCCCTAAATTTGGCATTGCCCATAGCTCTCTTGCTGTTGCGGCTGTAATTGTGGAGAGGTAGAGGTATGTCAAATCAAATCATGGGTGGTGTTCCCACTTTTTGTTACAACCTTGGATTCCTCACAGAATTAATTACAGAAAAAGTAGAATACACATAGGGAAATCTCTTTAGTATTAAATAGACAATTTCATTGGATAGCAAGAGTACAAGGGGCTTTCCTCTTCAAGGAGTAACTCTCCATCTCTGAGAATCTATTTTCAGCTGTATTTCTTCATAACTAACTTACTAACTCTTCTCCATGGAGGACTTGTCTCCTCATTGTAATCGGTAACAGTCCATAACTACCAAGGAAGAACTGGTTTTGTAATAAACTGTCTACATGACATAGTAACCACCCTACACCATGGAGTACAAGCATAGTAGTTAATTGCGCCGCGCCACACTGGAACGCAGTAGCGACCATTGCCATCGCATTTGCGGCCATATTGTTGTCATAAGGCAAAATGCCAACTTTGTCCTAAATTTAAATGTGTAACATAAAAAATTTAAGGGTTTTTTAGGGTATCCGAGTCTGTATGTGACTTCTACTATCTCTGCCTTTAAAAAATGTTTCTTTTTGTCACATGTATTTATTCTGCTATTTCCGCAACCGCAACCCGCTATAGCGTTTTTCGGGGTTTTCCGCGACATGCCGCAATCCGCATTTGATAACTATGAGTACAAGCGGCTTTCCTCTTCAATGAGTAACTCCTTCTCTGAGAATCTATTTTCAGTTTTATTTCTTCGTAACTTGCTAACTCTTCTCCATGGAGGACTTGTCTCCTCATTGCAATCGGTAAGAGTCCACAACTACCAAGGCAGAATTGATTTTGTAATAAACTGTCTACGTGACATAGTAACCACCTATAATGACCCTCACATTTATTATGGATTTAATATTGAAGGATAATTACAAAGAAAAAGAAATAAAGTCACCTTTGGTGAAAAAGGAGTTAAAATGACAGTTAAGGAGTAAAAATACGGGTAAATAAAGTTACTTGAAAGTAAAAAGTAAAATTATAAATATTACCATAAAAATATTTTGGACTAGTGTGCAAAGTTTGGTAGTGAATGTGAGGGTCATTATACCACCGTACACCCTACAATAACCAGCCCTTGTGGTTATTTATTTACATAATATCCTAATTATAACTGCTTATCCAATATATTAACTACCCATCATCTTAGTCCGCCTTCAAATATACACTTTGAAAGGCTTAGGACCACCAATATCTTTGTACCTAGCACATTTGCTTTCAGTACCAATTGTCGGTGTTGTTTTGCTTTGGGTGAAGTCTGAAAGATTTTAATTTGAGTTGAGCATTATAGGTTTGAATCGGTGCTTATAAAGCATCTATGATGTAGAGCATATTTGGACACTGAAGTTGAGCATTAAATGATCTGATCCCACTGCGGTGCCTAAGAACTTCGATAACATTAAATGTTGATTTGAGTGTCTATGATGCAGTGTGATCTGTGTTGAGATATATAAAACCATTAATGTAGCCTCACCCATCAGCTTAAGCTATTGGGTTGGATTGGTTCTTTACATGGTATCAGAGCCTCGTGTCCCGGGTTCGATCCTCACCGCCCCCCACTTTCTCTTGTGGAATTTCTTAGCATAGGTAGGTGGGCTTGTGCATTATCCATCCTTCAAGCCCAGTGGGCTCTCGTATGAGGGAGCGTGTTGAGATATATAAAACCATTAATGTAGCCTCACCCATCATCTTAAGCTATTGGGTTGAATTGGTTCTTTACAATCTGAATTTGAGATAGTCTGTCAGTGAATTATAGGAAGAGTGTGTGAAATTTAGAGCGAAAGAGATGGTGAATTCTACGGGGGAATATTCTTTTATATCTCACTTGACATGATCAGGTCATGAGAGATGATTTCAGTCATCCATAGACAAATTAATGGTGACAAGAAATGAGAGAAATAGTTCATTAGGATAGAGAGTGAGGAAATGATAACGGTTGATTTGTCTCTGGACGGGTAAGATTGGCTTACATTATCTGGTCTAATTAAATGAGACATGAGAGGATCCATTCCCATTTTAGAGAAAGAGGGAATTATGAGAGAGAAAAAAAGTAATCTTTAACATGAATTTTAGATAGAAAGCGGGATAAGCATCAGGTATATGATCAATGAAGATTGCGAGGAGTAGCCTTAAATTCCTCAAACTCTAATCCCAACACAACAAATCCTCATTGTTGCTGACATTTAATTCAATCTACGAACAAACTACTTTCTTTTTCTACAGATCAATATTCCATACTTTTTTTTTGTTTGGGGGTGGGGTGTTGCATTTTGGCTATGTTTGTCCTTTTCCACCACAAATTTCCTTGAAAAATCATTGTCGAGTCACACGAGTCACACCATGGGCTTTCATGTGGTCTTAAATGTTGAGCCGAGCCCATATTTAAATGCCTGCCACTTTATAACACAAGCTTATTTGGATAAAGTTTCATACATGGCCTGAGTAAAAGTGACACGTGGCAGTCTGGTAGCGAAATTATTGGCTACGAAATTCGCTACCGGTGGTAGCGAATTATGACACGTGGCAGTCTGGTAAAAAATACTGTTCGCGTGGCATTTGAGTAAGCAATTTGACAAAACGTGGCATTTTGGTCACTGTTCCCATTAAGATGGTGATTTTTTTTAATAACTTTACCTTGGTACTTGGCAGTTGGACAACCAGTTATTTTATTTGTAAATTTTTTGTAACAATGCTTTAATTTTCATGGAAATCAAATATTTAGGAAATTGTAGCAAATTGAAACTTATGATAGTTGTAGCCAATATTAGTTGTGATTGAAATTGTTTATGTTCCTTTCCTTGTTTGGACTCTAAAACCGATCGTCTATAAAAGGGGAGAGCTGAAAATATCAATATTGCTTCTTTGAATACATTTTCCTTAAAATGAGTCTTATGATTAATCAAGTGCGTACTTCATATTCCAGAGGTTTGTTTTGATATGGCTTTATGGAAAGCTGATTACTTAAGTTTTGGCAGTGGAGAGATCGTTTGGCAGATGCCTTGAATGAGATGCAGTCAGAAGGGAAGGAGGATCGGGTGTTCCACCTAGTCTCTCCAAGTAATGGAAGTATAGAGAGAGTGAAGGATGATCAACCAATTATCAAGGTAGCCACCCTCTCTTCCAGGGATGTTTGTTTATTTATTTTTTATCACCCTGTTTCATATATATTGAATGCAAAGTTATCAAATGTGGATTGCAGCTTATTGTTGTCAACCCAAAAAAACGCTATAGTGGATTGTAGTTACAGAAATAGCGGAATAGATCAATAGAATCTAGATATACCATAGACATATTTTCTAAAAAATAAAGACATTCATTCATAATGAAGAACTGTTCCAAAACAAACAAGAATTCCAAATAATCAATTAAAAGGATCTAAATATTGTCAATATTCCAAAGCATTACTAATTCAAAACATCTCACAAAATAACACCCGAAAAAAATTATTAAACAATTCTTCAATACAAGTAACACAACAAATTCTTAAAAAAACAAGGACACCCAAAATAAAAATAAAAAATACAAAGACAGAATGTGAGAGAGAGACGCAGAGGGCTTAAAAGATAAATAATAAAAAAATACAAAGATAAATAATAAAACATTTTTTAAATGAATGGCAGAGAGCTTACCTGTTACGAGAGAGACGAATGAGAGAGAAGCAGAGAATGGCATGATTTTTAACAACAAAGTGACAAACATAATGGGTATTTTACTTAGTAGTTAGTATTTGAAAGTTGAAACAAAAAATAAAATAAAAATAAAAAGAAAGAGGCAAGAGAGAGATGAGAGAGACAAGAGAGAGGAGTACCTCTGTAACTCTATTATGTGAGGGAGAGAGATACAAGAGAGAGGAATACCGCTGTAACTCTGTTATGCGAGAGAGACCCGAGAAGAGAGAGGCGAGAGAGACAAGTCAAAACGTGAGAGTGAGAGACCAAAAAGGAAAAAAATTTTGAAGAGAAGAAGAATGCGTGCCGTGAGTTGTTTCTGAACTCTAGGCCGAGAGAGTGAGAGAGAAGAGTTAGGGTTTCCTAAAACCCATTAAAAAGACAAAGATTCCCAAAAAAATAACTCTTCTAAAATTAAAGTAGGGACAAAATTTTAAATTTTCCATTGCTTTACCGTTGCGGCGGAATTGCATATGCAATAGTCGCTTTTTTCCCGCAATTGCAGGCGCAATGGCTGCATCTCCTACTTGTCGTGTCGCAGTGCTGTTTGATGCAGCGGAGCTTCGCAATCCACTACTGTAGTGGAATTGCGTGCTTTTGCGCTGCAATTTATATCTATGAGAGGAACCTTAACACAACGGTCGGTATTGTTGTCGTGACCTGAAGGTTACAGGAACTATTAATCCTTTTGCAAATGCAAGGTAAGGTTGCCTATTGTAGATCCATACAATGTGTCTGACCCCTCCATGGTCTCTGTGCATACACAGGGCTTTATAGCAAAAGGGTGTCTAATTTTTGTTTATTATATATATTATTCTTTTCCCCTTCTTTTCCTTTATCTCTTTTCCCCTTCCCCATCTCTTTTCCTCCTACTTATTTATATATTTTCCTACACCTTTTTATTTTTACTTTTATATATATATATTTATATATTTTGGGCTTTATTAATCTCATGTTGTAGGGGAGTAGTTTTCTTCTACCATAGATACAATTATAGATGGGGCTCACTCACTTATAAAAATTAAAAATTGAGCTACACGGAAATCGATGGGTGTGTAGGAAAGAGCTACTCTCCAACAACATGAGAATAGTTTTTTCCATATATTTTATTATTATTTTATTTATTTTTATCTTTTTTCAATCCCTTCATATCTTTTTTTGGGTTCATCTACCACTGAACCCAATTAATTTGGGATAAAGGTGTTGTTGATGTTTGTTAGAGTATAATATAAACAATTGTATATTGAATAATTGTGTGTCACAATGTGTGTCTGTATACAAGATGTGTGTCTATATACACTGAATTATTCTAACACTCACCCTTAAGAGTTTTAGTGAAGATATCCGCGAGTTGATCAATGGAGTTGACAAATGCCGTTTTGATTTCTCCTGTCTGAATCTTTTCTCGAATGTAATGACAATCGATCTCTATATTTTTGGTTCTTTTATGAAATACAAGATTAAAGGATATATATATAGCACAACTTGATTGTCACTAATGAGAGTCATGGGCTCTTTTTGTTCACAAAGATGAAGCTCCTGAATCAACTGCTTTAACCAGATTAGCTCGAAGGTAGCAACTCCTATTGCATGATACTTGGCTTTTGCAATACATCGGGCAACAACAGTTTGTTTCTTACTTTTCCAAGAAATCAAGTTTCCTCCAAAGAAGACACAATAGCCCGAAGTAGAGAGCCTATCCGAGGGTGTTGAGATATATAAAAACCATTAATGTAGCCTCACCCAACAACTTAAGCTTTTGGGTTGAATTGGTTCTTTGCATGGTATCAGAGCCTCGTGTCTCGGGTTCGATTCTCGCCGCCTCCCACTTTCTTTCAAGTGGAAATTCTTTGTTCGCACAGGTAGGTGGGCCTGTGTATTGTCCACCCTTCAAGCTCAGTGGGCTCTCGTGTGAGGAGGCATGTTGAGTTATATAAAAACCATTAATGTAGTCTCACCCATCGACTTAAGCTTTTGGGTTGAATTGGTTATTTACAGAGGGTAATCTTGGCTATTCAGCATCTGAATAATCACAAATTTCTGTATTTCCCTGATCTGAATATAATAAACCTTTCCCTGGTGCTCCTTTGATGTACCGGAGAATTCTTATAGCAGCATCCCAATGAGAATCAAGGAATTGACTAGCGACACTAACAACAAAAGAAATGTCCAGCCTAGTCACAGTGAGATAATTGAGCTTCCCAATCAACCTTCGATTATGTCCAGGATCAGATAATGGCTCTCCCTGTCCGGGTAGTAATTTGACAGTAGGATCCATGGATGTATCAACTGGCTTACGCCTCAACATACCAGTCTCCTCTAGGATATCCAAGGCATATTTCCATTGACAAATAGAAATGTCCGGTCTAGACTATGCTACTTCAATCCTTAAGAAGTAATAAAGCTTACCAAGATCCTTTTTTTGAAACTGACTGAACAAATACTGTTTTAATTGGTGAATCCCAGCTTGATCACTTCCAGTGAGAATAATGTCATTGACATAGACTATCAGATAGATGCATTTGTCAGGAGATGTGAACCTATAAAACACAGAATGATCGACCTTATTGCGGATTAAGCCAAAAGTCTGAACGACAGAACTGAAACAGCTGAACTAAGCCCGAGGAGACTGCTTGAGGCCATATGAGGACTTACGAAGTCTGCACACCATCCCAGACTCGCCCTGAGCAACAAACCCAGGTGGTTGCTCCATGCAAAAGTCTTCTTGTAAATCACCATGAAGAAAAGCATTTTTAATGTCTAATTGAAGGAGTGGCTAGTGACGAACAGTAGCTAGAGCATGAAACATTCGGACAAACGCCATCTTATTAACAGGAGAGAACGTGTCACTATAATCAAGTCCGAAGATCTAAGTAAAACCTTTGGCGACTAAGAGGGCCTTGAGACGGTCAACATGGCCATCTGGTCTAACCTGGACATTAAAGACCCACCGACAACCAACAATAGACTTCTCTAGAGGAGCAGTCATCTCATCAAGCATCGCTTGGAGCCTCCCGGATGGGAAAATGCTTCACTTGTGGTCTTAGGAATAGAAATAGAAGAAAGACTAGAAACAAAGATGTAATGAGAAGTAGAAAGACAATCATAGCTTAAAAAGGTATAAAGAGGATAAGGGTTCGAGTAGCATGTATACCTTTTCTTTGGGCAATGGGAAGAGCCTTTGGTGAAGGAGCCAGAGGGGAAGAGATGACTGGAGAAAGTGATGAGTCACCCAGGGCCAAGTCTACAAGAGGCACTTTCTGACGACGCTGGTAGGTGAGAAAAGGGCGGTCTACAGGGATGGTGGCAAGAGGTCTTTCCTCTAGGAGAGAGTCACCTGCAACTAGTAAAGACAAGTCAAGAAAAGGAACAGGAAGAACGTGATCAACATGTGATAACTAAGATGGGATAGAATGAAAGGGTTGTTGATCAAGGAAAGTGACATCAGCGGAAACAATATAACGCTTAAGGTCAGGAGAATAACAACGATAACCATTTTGAATACTAGAATAATCAAGAAAGATACACTTAAAGCCTTTGGATGTTAACTTGTCCTTACCAGGAGTGAGATCATGAACAAAACAAGTACAACCAAAGACATGTGAAGTTAGAGGATAAAGACGAGCATCTGGAATCAATAGATTATGAGGAATGTCATTGTTGAACATAGTGAAGGCATGCAATTGATGGGAAAACAAGAGATGAGTACGACATCCGTCCAGAAGTGAAGGGGAACCTGCATATGAATAAGAAAGGTACGAGCAGTTTCAATGAGATGTCTATTTTTACTTTTAGCCATCCCATTTTGTTGTGGAGTGTGAGGACAAGTGGTTTGACGTAAAGTACCTTGTGTAGCCTAGAAATTAGAAAAATCAATAGAAACATGTTCGTTAGCATTATCACTACGTAGAATATGAATAGAAACACCAAATTGAGTATGCATCTCAGCAGAAAACTTTTTATATATGGAAAATAACTTAGAACGATTTTTCATTAAATAAATTCAAGTATAACGGGAATAATCGTCAATAAAGGTAACAAAATACCAAAAACCTAAAACAGACAAAGCACGACTTGGACCCCAAATATTTGAATGAACAAGAGAGAAAGGAGCATCAACTTGTTTATTGACTCGACTTGCGACTTGCAAAGGAGGAGCATGTATGCTTTCCTTGCTGACACGACACACAATCTAAATGAAGACCTGATAAAAGAGGAACCATCTTCTGCAACTTCGAAAGACTTGAATGACCGAGGCGACTGTGGATAAGTTGTGGAGATTCTTTAAGAGAGTATGTCACTGAAGGACAAGGCACAACCAAATAATATAGCCCTCATGATTCACGACCCTCTCCAATCATCTTTCCCGTACCCGGATCCTGCACAGAAATAAAATGGTTAAAGAAAGTAATGGTGCAAGTAAAGGAGTGGACTAATATAAAACCCTTATATTATACTCTAACAATGATCAAAATAAGTAAAAGATGTAAAGAGTTCTTTATAACCACAAAGATGATTGGTAGCACCTGAGTCAAATATCCAAGAGCCAAGTGATGTAGAATGAGAAGCACAAGCATCGGGATTCCCAGTATCTGGTGCAGAAGGTTGAGATTGAGAAGAAGCCTTCCCGAGAAGAGTCTGGAGTGCAACATAGTCCATAGGTGAGAGAGAAACTGAACCAGAGGATGCAGTGTCTGACTGAGCTATATTCGCAGCAAACGATGGTTGCAGGTGAGGATACTTCGTGTAACAACGATCTTCAAAATGACCAAGTTGCGTACAATAAATACATCGAGGTCTCTGACCACATTCACCTGGGCCACGACCACGATTACATCCACTGTTCCCGCGAGTGTCAATATGGGAAATAAGAGCAGTGGAATCAACAACAGAAGATGAATCAGGAGCAGAAATTGATTTCTTGTTGAGATTCAAGAGGCGTTGGTAGATCAGTGATAGACTAGTATCCCCACTAGTCAGGATAGTGTTATGGACAACATCATACACTTTGGGAAGACCAAAAAGAGTGGTAACCATATTGTTTTCGATATACAGAAGCATCAGAAGGGTATGGCATCGTGTCCAAGTACGCCTGCATCAAAGATCAACTTTTCCAATATATGTTTCCATCTGAATATCAGATGATTTGTGCAACGTCATGAGTTGAGACATGATAGAATAGAGCTCCTGGGTATCATTAGTGTAGAGGTGTTTGGCTTCCTCCCACACTTTATAACATGTTTGAAAATAGTAGAAAATATCCAAGACAACTGGATCAATTGACTGCCAAAGAATACCCAGAAGTTGATTATTAATCCTTTCCCATTCAGATTTCTCAGCCTTAAGGATATCAGTAGATGGAACAGTGAGATGACGCCCATGACCCTGTCCAAAGAACCAGACACGAACAGAGGTGGCCTAATTCTTGTAATTATCAGAACCCTTTAGTTTGGAATAGGTAATGGGCCCAACATTAGTAGAGATGATTTCTGAGGAAGTTTTGGCAAGAGAAGGAGAGTTAACCTCCGAAAGATCAGGGGACGCTGCTGCCATTTAAAGACAAAATATAAAAGCCGTAAACGAAGGCAAACAATAGCCAATCAAGAAAAAACACGCATCGAAAGTGAGACCCGCAAAGAACCAAGCCCAGATCTGGATAGAGGAGGAAAAATCGAGGTAGTCTGTCCAGGAACGATCGGAAAAGGACGCCGAAACAATGCACGCGCGCTGGGGAAGGGTGGCGTGTGAGCACCACGCGCAAGGAGAAGGAGCCACGCGTGAGAGCGCATGGGGATTCCTCTGATGATGGGTCTTCCACAGACTTGGGCACCGGAGAGAGAAGGCTCTGATTGCAGGCTTTTCGGTTGAAATCGACGTCGGAAAAGTGCCTCAGTGGTTTTGTTGGCGGCGGATAGTGGTTCTGACGGTTGAAGAAACAAGCCATAGAGGCGCATGGTGTAGAGAACTTGTCGGAGGGACACATGGCTGTTGAAAACCTTGTCGGAAGATCGCATGGCAAAGTAGAAGAGAACACCTAAACAATGGGCTTAGGGTTTTAGCGGAAGCAGATCCCCAGAACGAAAAAGCTCTGGTATCAACTTGAGATTAAAGAATAATTGTGTGTTACAATGTACAAGAGCTCTCTATTTAAAGAGCCTAAAAGACCTAATGGGTTAAGTCCACAAGATGTGGGTCTATATACACTGAACTATTCTAACAACTACTCTAACATAAACCATTAAAGAAAGACTCATCTATCAGCTTAAGTTTTTCAGTTGAATTGATTTTTTACATGGTGTCAGGGCCTCAGTGTCTCGGATTAGGTCCTAGCTGTTCCCTATTTTCTTTTTGGAATTTCTTAGCACAGGTAAGTTGGGTCTGTGCATTGTCCACCTTTCAAGCTCAATGGACTCTCGTGTGGGGGGCATGTTAGAGTATAGTATAAACCATTAAAGAGGCACTCACTGACCAGCTTAAGCTTTTTGGTTGAATTGGTTCTTTACAATGTTGATGTTGATATATATTCTTATTTGAGCTATGTACATGTAATTATGTATATATGAAGGGCGTGTATAAGCTGGACAAATATAAACTACATGCCTGGATCCAGACAATTGAATTGATAGGTGAAAATTGTTTTATTTTCAGTAGGGATATCCATCTCAAAATATCTGTTGTTTTAGAATGAGCTTTGTTTCATTTTATTCTCTGCTTTTGAAAATCAAGATGACATTAATTATTTTTTGCAACTTTATTCTTGTCGCTTGGTTACCATTGTGGAGTGGTAGATCAGTTATTTCCTATGTTCGTGACTATCCTTTTTAATAGTTTTTTCCTTATTTTATTTATTTATTTATTTCTTCTCATATTTTTTTTTTATTTTCCCTCTATTTTTTCTTGGTTTTTATTTGGGTTCATCAACCATTGACTTCAATTAGTTTGGGATAAATGTGACGTTGATATTTATTTTGATCACTCAGTATCACCTAAATGTAACGAGAAAGAGTATTAAAGAAGTGTGATATATTCTTATAATTGAGAGCATTAATTATTTTCTTGTAATTAATGAGTGTAATATTTTATTTGAGATAAAGGTGTTGTTGATGTTGATGTTGAATGAGTGTAATATTTTCAATAGAGGGTAATTTAGTCAAATATGGTTATTTTTCCTTATAATTGGGGCTATTTAACGCCTTTCTTAATCCTTATTCAATCACCTTAAACAATAGATATTTTGAAACCGAAGGAGTAATTTGGAGTTGTGGTTGTAGCAGTAGAAATGTATCTTCATGGATTATTAATCAACTTTACGACTTTGAAATTTATTATTTATCTTTAGTGTACTAGTTATAATTGGGATATTTTTGGGGAAGCTGTACAAATTTTTTTATATCAGAAGTCTCTATCAACATAATCTAATTACAGCAGGACATCGTGGTAGATATACTATTATACACTAAAAAATCAGGCATTGCTCTTCAATTCTTGATGATCATTTTACAGGAAGAAAAACCTGCAATAAATTTATGTGATTCAGCGGAAAGTAAATTTGCAAGAAAACGATCAGGATCACAAAATGGAGGTGATTTAGCTGAAGATGAAGATGTGCCTGGAAAACGTGTCAGAAAAACAAACATTGGCTCGAAAGAACCTAAGAAAGAGTTAGATGAAGGTATCGCTATTTCTGAAGATGACACTCCTTCAACTGTACCAACATCTTCAAAAGGTGATGTGGATAATGGGCCTGTACAGCAACTTGTTGCCATGTTTGGTGCTTTGGTTGCTCAAGGTGAAAAAGCTGTTGCATCTTTGGAAATTCTTATCTCAAGTATTTCTGCTGACTTGCTAGCTGAGGTGGTAATGGCAAATATGCGTTACCTACCTCCAAATTACTCTAATGCTGAAGGAGATGATGAACAGCTACATGACATTAGTTTAATTGGTTCTGATGACAAGGCTAAATATCCACCATCATTTGTAGCTGGTGTTATGTCACTTTCTAGTACTTTCCCACCAATAGCTTCACTTCTCAATGCTCAGCAATCAGTGTCCAATGAGGTAATGGCATATTTTATTCATCTGGTATTTTTTGTTTTTGGGCCATACTTTTTTATTTTACATTTTACCTCTAATCCCTTTCACTTGTATTGATTTATCCTGTCCTTTTTTAAATCTTTCTTCTGACTAAAACTTTGATGTACACAAATATTGCAGAAGTTTCAAGGGGAGGAAGAAATTTCTACAACTGGAGTAGATAGTGCTGCTGTGCATTCTGGCATGATCCTTTCGTCTGAAAATGCACCATTGCCTACCATTTTTCCATCTTCTGATGTCAGTATACCTGGAGTGGAGAATGGCTGCACAACTATGCCTTCTGACATCCATGATGTTGGAAACTTAGACAGTGGAATCCCTGGCCTTGATTCTTTTGGTCGAAGTGATGTATTTTCAGAAACTTTGGCTGCTTCCTCATTGGCTTCCACTGAGATACAACAAGAAGATGCCAGTCAAGAGCAAGTTACGAGTTTGGATCGAAGGTCACCCTTGAACTTAGTTCCATCAATATCAACAGATAGATCTGAGGAGCTGAGCCCAAAAGCAGCTGTTACAGATGTCAATAGCTTGGTGTCCTCGACAGCTACTTCAGTCATGTTCCCTTCCCATTTAGTCCTGCCAAAGATGATTGCTCCTGTTGTTGAACTTGCAGATGACCAAAAGGATTATTTGCAAAAGTCATGTTTTATGCGTATCATTGATGCATATAAGCAAGTAGCTGTTGCTGGAGGCTCAAATGATCGATTTTCAATACTTTGTTATGCAGGAGTTGAGGTGAAAATTCCAGCTTCTCAAAATTTTTTGTTTCTTTTTTATAGTTGTATAATTACAGATTATGTTAAGTGCTTAATATAGGATCTGGTTTATTTAAGACTCTTTTTTCTTAAAAGCATTGAAGATCACACTCAATTTATTCTTTGTTGTATATTGTAACTGTCTTTGGTCTGTTAATAAAATTTACACTGTCCTTTAACTTCTGATGCTCCCTTTGTTGTATATACTCTTAGTTGTATTCAGAGGAAACTACATTGACCTCACTGAAGTTTACTGATATGACATTGACCTGCTTTTTAGTTTCAGAAATTACACTAACCTGTCTTACTTTTCATATTTATCAGACAAATAATTTTTTTTTTCAAACATACATACCTGCCCCCTTATTATTACCTTTTTTTTTTTTTGGTGTGGTATTATGACCTTCCTTACTTCTGAAACTAGATGGGCAGGTTATTATATTTTCACCATTAGAGGAAAACACAAGAAAGTGAGAGAGAATGTTGAGAGAAGCATATGAAGAAGACATTTTTGTTATTGAATCTGAGTGAATGAATTGATACACAGAGAGAGATAACGAGCTCTATATATAGAGCTGAGGCTGATTCAATGATGAGTCAGCATACTAACAGATCATACAACAGAAAAGCAACAAACTAACAAACTATAACAGACTTAATACAAGAGAAATTAATCAGCTACAACTGGTACAAAGAAAATAATCTACTTCAAGGCTAGTTACGCTAATACTCCCCCTCAAGCTCAGCAATGTTGGTGAGGCAAGGCTGAGTCCAAAACTCTGAGCTTGGTTCTGAAATAAGCAAAGGAGACAAGAGGCAAAGGTTTGGTAAACGTGTCAGCAAGATGATCTGCTGCAGGAATGTGTGACACTTTCATATCCTTGGCAACAACCTTTTCACGAAGAATATGTAGATCTAATTCTAGGTGTTTGGGGCGGGCATGTAAGATGGGTTTCTGAGCTATAGCAACCTCACTAAGATTATCACAGAATATTCGAGGAACAGATACAGAAAGTTGCAACTCTTGAAACAAGGACCTCCTAATCCACAATATTTCAGCACAAACAAGTGCCATATTCAGTTTCAGCAGTAGAGCGCGCTACAAGGAATTGCTTCTTTGACTTCTAAGAAATGAAATTTGGTCCAAGGAAGATGTAGGCACCAGAGATTGATCTTTTGTCATCGGGATCACTTCCCCAATCAGCATCACAAAAGGCTTGAAGGGCAAAGGAACCAGTGGCTGATGTAACTGACTGAAAACGAAGTCCAAAGGTGATGGTGCCTTGAAGGTATTTCAAAATGCGTTTAACAGCCTTCCAATTCTCCAAAAGAGGCGGACTCATAAACTGACACTTTATTCGCGGAGAAAGCAATTTCAGGTATGGTAATTGTTGCATACTGGAGTGCACCAACCACAGATCTGTATAAATGAGGATCTTCAAAAGAATTATTGCTAAACATCGACAATTTACAACTGGACTGCATAAGAGTGGAGATGGGTTTAGCTTCAAGCATGTTAACCCGAGTGAGAAGATCCTTGATGTACTTGGACTAATTGAGAAATAAGGAACTAGAGGATTGCCTTTTAGTTCAATGGCTAAAAAATAATCCAATTCTTTAAGATCCGTAAAGAACCTTGGGATACACCACCCCAAAAGCTAGCTCAAAGGGTGAGAGTGCCCAAGGTCTTATAAACTCCACATTAGTTGCACATACAACCAATGTAGGACTATATATCTCAACACGCCCCCTCACACGAGAGCCCATTGGGCTTGAAGAGTGGATGATGCAACAGGCTCAGCCTACCTGTGCTAAGAAATTCCGCAAGAGAAAGTTGGGGGCGGCGAGGCTCTGATACCACGTAAAGAACCTTAGGATAAGTCAGAATATTTACGGATAAGACGGAATCCAATCATATCTAATCATATCATATCTAATATTCTAACAAGATCCTTTTGTGCAAAAGTGGAGTGAAGCTGTGAGATAAAGTTATGAATAAACGGAACATTATTTCCTGTAATGATGATATCATCAACGTACACCAGCAAATAAACCAGCATGTTACTAGTCTTATAGATGAATAAATCACATATACTAGCTTGAAAACCAAGAGACAGAATAGACCCTTTTAGTTTGTCAAACCAGGCCTTAGGTGCCTGTTTAAGCCCATAAAGATACTTGTTGAGTTTACAAATCAGGGATTTGTCTTCTGACTCAAAACCAGATGGCTACTCCATCCATGTATACTTCCTCCTTTTGGTCCCCATAAGAAAAGCATTATTAATATCAAGTTGCCTTAATGGCCAACCATATGTAAGAGCAATAGACAACACAATACAAAGGTGCCTATTTAAGTCCATAAAGATACTTGTTGAGTTTACAAACAGGGATTTGTCTTCTGACTCAAAACCAGATGGCTACTCCATATATACTTCCTCCTCTAGGTTTCCATTAGAAAAGCAGTATTAATATCAAGTTGCCTTAATAGCCAACCATATGTAAGAGCAATAGACAGCACAATACGAATTGTAACAAGTTTAACAACCGGAGAAAATGTTTCATTATAAGCAAAACTTGGTCTTTGATGAAAGCCCTTGGTCACCAACCATGCCTTGTACTTGTTAATACTCCCATCAGGATTTTCCTTCACTTTGAACTCCCGTTTACATCCAATAACCTTGCCATGAGGTAAAGAGACAAGAGACAAGAGACCATGCTTTGTTATTTTGTAAGGCAACATACTCTAATTCCATTGCCTTGAGCCAGTGGGGACTGGCCAAGGCCTGTTTAACAGATGTAGGTTTAGTATGAGTGAGTAATACAAGATTTCTGGCCAAAGGATTAGAACTGGAAATGGGACTGGAGGTATTGGAGTGCTGGACACTTTGAGAAGATGATGAAGACAGTGAATTAGATGGAGACACAACAGGAGTAGAAGGAGAATAAGCTTTAGAATAAGATGAGTTACTAGACTATTGATTACCATTGACATAAATTGAAGTGCTGACAGAGGTGGACATGTCAATATGAGGAACAGTAGGGAACTCATCAGTACGAGGAGATATTGGAGAGCTGTTGAGGGAACAAATTGAGACAGAATAGGCAAGCGAACAGATGTAGAGGCAGATATTTGTGGAGTGGAATGAGTCTTGTTGGTATGCCATTCCTTGTAAGGAAATCTATACTCATTAAATAGCACATCTTTGTATATGAAAATCCTATCTTCTGGCCTCAAACAGATGTACCCGTTGTGGTTTGGTGAATAACCAAGAAAAATGCACTCTCTTGACCTGAACTCAAGTTTATGCCTGTTATATGGTCTAAGAAAGGGAAAACATGCACACCCAAAAGTTCTAAGGAAATTGTAATCAGGTTTCTTAGTGTGAGGAACATCAAGATTGATGGCAGATGTAGGAAGTCTGTTTATAAGGTAAAGTGCAGTTGTGAAGGCATAATCCCAATATTGCATTGGAAGGGATGAATGTCTTAGGAGTGCTAGACCAATCTCCATTATGTGACAGTGCTTTCTTTCTGCAACACCATTTTGGTGATGTGTGTGAGGACAAGTAACACGATGAGCTATCCCATGCAAGTTAAGGTATTGGGTAAAGATTCTAAACTCACCACCCCCAATCTGTTTGAAGTGCTTTTAGGGTAGTTGAAACTGATTTGTGACCATGGCATGAAATTGTTTAAAAACATCTATGGCATCTGATTTTTGTTTTATTGGATAGAGCCATGTGTATCGAGTGTGAGCATCAACAAATGAGATGTAGTAGCTGTTACCAAGAGATGATTTTACGGGTGAAGGTCCCCATAGGTCACTGTAAACAAGATTGAATAGTTCTTTATATTCTGTATTGGAGGGTAAGGAGTGTTGTCTATGAGACTTAGCACAACAACAAGAACAAAATTTTGCCATTTTATTGCTAATGTGTATGTTACAAGATTTGAGTACACTTTTGAGAGAATCTAAATGTGGATGCCCAAACGGCTCTGCCACAGAGAATACAAGGAATTAGAAATGAACATTTGTATTAGCACTAGGACTACTAACAAGATTGACAGAATTTCTTGTAAAAGAGGAGCTGAAACAGGTGTTACTTGTCTTTGAAGTTTGACCTTTTGAAAGCTTGAGGTCTGGAAAATGGTATAATCCATCAGTACCAACTGCACCTTGAAGAAGGATCTTATGTGAATCCTAACATTTCACAAAACAAACATCAGAATGAAATTCAAAGAAGACAGATTTGTCTTTAGTAAATTTGCTAACATTGATAAGGTTTTTAGTGATTGAAGGAAAGTTCTTAAGATGTAAACGAGTATTAGAATCAAATGGAGATAAGAAAGACGGAAAACCAATAGTTGTTATAGGCAGACCTTGGCCATTTCCATTTAAAATTTGGTCTGTACCACAGAGCTGATGTCCATGTCCTTGTGTTAAGTTCTGAGATAATGCAGTAACATGGCTCGTCGCTCCAGAGTCAGGCAGCCATTCAACCAGTGGAGCAGAGTTAGATGTGGATGGAAGACTGGATTGAGCTGTGATGTAAGCTTGTGGATTGTGTACTGAAAAGACCTTGCTGATTGAGGATGTTGCTGGACGAAGAATTGAGGATAGAACATATTTTGTGGTGGAGGTAGGTTCGGAGTGAAAATCTCCTCAAACCTATGCCAGCAATCTCTCACATTATGACTAAACTTGTAGCAAAATTGACAATGGACGTTTGTTCTATTTCCTCATCCCCTTCCACGAAATTTCACACCAGATCTTGCTCTTCCTTTGTTTTGCCCACTCGAATTGTTGAACTGATTAAAATTCTGTTGCTCTATTCGACTTTGTTTTCTGGTTCCAGAAACGTAGTCATCTTCTTCGTCAGATCCAATCTTTTGTGGTATCTAAACACGTTGGGTCAAGTTCACCGAAGCTCCTTCAGCCAATAGCTGATCATTCTGTTTGATTAGAAGCTGTTTGTGAGCCATAAGTTCTACTCCAAGATCTGCAACGGAATATGCTCTGTCTTGTCTGTGAACCATCATGACAAATGGATTGTAATTAGAAGGTAATCCTTTGAGTATAGTCTTTGTTGGAGTATAATTTAAATATCATTAAAAAGCTCATTTCCCGACAACTTAAGCTTTTTGATTGAATTGGTTTTTTACATGGTATCAGAGCCTCGGTGTCACATGTTCGATTCTCACCGCCCCCCACTTTCTCTTGTGGAATTTCTTAGCACTGGTAGGTGGGCCTGTGCATTATCCACCCTTCATGCCAAATGACTCTCGTGGAGGGGGCATGTTGGAGTATAACATAAACACCATTAAAAAAGCCCTTATCCAATAACTTGAGCTTTTGGGTTGGATTGGTTCTTTACAATCTCTACATATTCATCAACAGACACTAGACTTCCAATCGATTTAAGTGAATCACAAATCGTCTTTATTCTAGCGAGATATTCCTTCGCTGTTTTTGTTCCTTTCTTCATCGTCTTTAGCTCAGATCTTAGTTGTCTGGCTCGAGAATTCATTAAACCATGAAATAGCTTGTGTACATTCTCCCATGAGTGTTTGACTGGAAGAATGTTGTTTGCCACTTGCTCCGAAATGGTGGATAATAACCACGTTAGTAACATCTGATCTTGCATTAACCAATCAGTGTAAGCTAGGCTGAAAGTGTTGTTTTCTTGATCCTCATCAGATTCGAACTTCAGAGGAATCTTCGGATTCACCAGGAAACGTTGCAGTTGATGAGATGTGATGAGTGGCTCTATGATCTGGTTCCAGAAGTGATAATTATCTTCTGTTAACTTTGCTGAAACTTGAAAGTTGAAAGGTGACGAAGGATTTTTAGGTTCAATTGTAGTAGATCTGGAAGTAGATCTGTTTTGTTGAGTTGCACTATTGTCTGAATTGGATGCGGAAGACATAGTTGTGAGCTAGTGTATGGATCAGGCCCTTGGACGAAAACACAAGAAAGTGAAGGAAAATGAGAGAGAATGTTGAGAGAGAAGCATATGAAGAAGAGACATTTTTGTTATTGAATCTGAGTGAATGAATTGATACACAGAGAGAGATAACGAGATCTATATATAGAGCTGAGGCTGATTCAATGATGAGTCAGCATACTAACAGATCATACAACAGAAAAGCAACAAACTAGCAAACTATAACAGACTTAATACAAGAGAAATTAATCAGCTACAACTGGTACAAAGAAAATAATCTACTACAAGGCTAGCTACGCTAATACAGGTGAGTGAAATTTCTGCAAACTTCTGTGGAGATCGGTATAATTTAGGCTTTTTCTTTTCCCCTCTTTCCGTTACACACTTACAGTAGTCTTGAAAATTTCTCCTATCCTAGGTTAAAGAATGAGAACATGTGATGTTCTTCAGATTTTCCCCCCCACTAATATCTCTTTTTTTCTACAAATTCTATTAATCATGATTTATGATTGCCTCAAGCTTTAACTGTATAGTGTCTACAGTAAGCATTAATTTCAATATTAAATGCTGTATTATTACCTGTTTTATATTTTTTAATTTGAAGCAATTAGGATGTAAATATTCATCGTTAGTCTAATGCATAGTTATTGTTCGTATTTGACTTTTCTTGTTGCTTAATATCAATTACTCCCTGTTTTCTCTCTGTTCATAAATGCTTTTAACTCTAATGTAATTTAGACATGCTTAGGATCTTTTTTCTCAATCTTTTATTTATATTTTATTTGTTTTATACTTCTATATTTTTATATTATTTTTTATTTTTCATGGGTTCATTGATCGCCGACCCCTATTGGGATGGGATAAATGTATTGTTGATGTTAACGTTCATGTTAGGATCTTAAAGTCTGTAAAATTATATATACTTTTTTTTGCTTACAGCCACTTTGTAATTGTTATGTTGCACTTTTTTTTTATCTTCATGCAGATTCCCTTGGAATTAGACCCATGGAAATTATTAAAGAAGCATATTTTGATGGATTACACTAGTCATGAGGTAAGCTCTGGTGCCTAGTGTTGGTTACTGCTTCTGTGGCAATTTCTTTTACTCTTAGCTTTGATGTGACTTGTGAGTAATATAGTGAATGAAACTCTTTCTGCTGTGTTGTGTTGGACAGCTAATATGATATTGACATTATGGACACTTCTGTTTGTTTTAAATAAATTATTCAAGTTAGCAGCTATTATGTACGACTGCATTCGTTAATAATCTATATGTGCTGACATTTATTACCTAATGTCTCAGGGACACAACTTGACAGTGTGTGTCCTCAACAGGTTATATGGTGTGGCTGAAGTGGAGACTGACTTCTTTTCTTCCACAACTGCTGCTTCTGAATATGAAACATTCCTCCTAGCAGTGGTCTGTGCTTTTGTTTTTCCCTCTTTTCTTTTTTGTCCTTTTGCAAGGCAAGAGTTGAGCTTTTGGTTCACTTCTAATGCAGGCAGAAGCACTTAGAGATTCCTTTCCTCCTTCAGATAAATCATTAAGTAAATTGCTTGGTGAATCTCCGTACTTGCCAAAATCAGTTTTAAAAATTTTAGAAAACATGTGTTCTCCTGGAAATGGGGATAAAGTTGAAAAGGAGTCTCACTCACTGAATGCGGATAGAGTTACTCAAGGTCTAAGTGCTGTATGGAGTTTGATTCTTTTGAGGCCTTCCTTTCGAGATACTTGTTTAAAAATTGCTTTACAGGTTTTTCTCCTACTTTTTATTTATGAACTTTAGTTGTGCTTCATTTGTTTAATTGTGGTTATTGGTCATAATACTTCTTCCCCCGAACCTTTTCTTTCCTTATATGTTTAAATTGAACTTTAAGTAGGAGGCATAGTGATATTATCTCCTGTTCTTGAATCATGTGAGATCTGAATTTTCAATCCTTGCTTCGCTTAGTAATTGTAATTTTCTGTGTTACTTCCAATCTCTTCTTTAATTTCGATTTTCTTCTTTTCCATTGAAAGAGTGCAGTGCATCACTTGGAAGAAGTGCGTATGAAGGCCATACGTCTGGTACATTTAAGCATAACTTCCTTTGAAAACATTTAGTTGACTGCATAACAGCATCTGTCTTACAATTTGAGCTCTTCTTGCAGGTGGCAAATAAGCTTTATCCTTTATCATACATTTCTCAGCAAATAGAAGACTTTGCAAAAGAAATGCTGTTCTCAGTGACGAGTGGTGATGCATCTGAAGCAACTGATGCTGAAGGGTCTATTGCTGATTCACAAAAAGTATTTGCATATTTATGAATTAACTTCTTTTGTGATTGGAGTTCTGTTGACAGCAAGTTTGTGCCATTTATGTTGTTGGATAATTATTGTAGTTTGTTTATTCTTTATTTTTATCCTTTTACTTTTCAGGGACCTGATATTGATAAGCTTCAAAATGAACCATCGTCATTGAGTGGCAGCACTAAGGATGTCTCCTCAGATAATCGTCAATCATGCACATCTGAGAACTACTTGGCGGCATTTTCTGAGGCTCAGAGGTGCATGTCATTGTATTTTGCTTTGTGTACAAAGGTATTGTTTTATTCTCTAGTATAGATCCTCCTATATTTCTCATGTTCTTTGACTAAAAGTAATATATATTAATGCTTTATGATGACAGAAGCACTCTCTCTTTCGCCAAGTATTTGTCATTTATAGAAGCACGTCAAAGGCAGTGAAGCAGGTTTCAGTTGTTGACATACAGGATTGTGGTGAATATTGTCAACTGTAGCTATTCAGTCACTAGGTTTATGTCATTGATTGTATGGTGCAGGCAGTTCATCATCAAATTCCTATACTAGTGCGCACTATAGGCTCATCTTCAGATCTCCTTGAAATTATTTTGGATCCCCCAAATGGAAGCGAGGACCTCCTAATGCCGGTTTTCTGTTTTACCTTATAACTTTTAACATGTGTTGAAATTTTAGTAATATTTGAATATTGATAATTCTACGTTGATCATGTCAGGTGTTGCATATACTTACAGATGGTACGATCCCATCTAAGGATTTAATATATACTGTGAAAAGGTTATATGATTCAAAACTTAAGGTATGTTAAAATGTTGCCATATCAGTTTTGCAGTGAAATTCAGGATTCTGCCTAATACATGGTTGATTCTTTACAGGATGCAGAGGTTCTTATTCCAATATTACCATTCCTACCAAAAGATGAGGTTCTCCCTTTTACTGTTTAATTGGATGTAAATTTTACTGTTGCTTTTTTAGTGAAGTCATTATTTGAATTTACATCAAGTAAAATTTGATGTGAAGTATCTATCATTAATGGATTTTATGTAAGAATTGTTGATGTTAGATGTATCTTCTTTCTTTTACTTTCTAGTTATCTCGAATGACACCGTCTTTCATTTGGTAAACATGTTTTAACAATTCTTTTGATAGGTAATGCCGGTTTTTCCTCACATTGTGAATCTTCCTTTGGAGAAGTTCCAAGCAGCACTTGGTCGCATATTGAAGGTATGCTTCATTCCTTTACAGTCATTAGTCAGAGTTGCTAATTCTTCGTTGGACTCAAGTAGACATGTAACTTCTTAAAGCTTAATTAGAGTTAGAGCCAAGTATATGCAATGTATGATTTGGAGCATCTGGAGTTATAAATCAAAGTTAAACATTGACAAAAGGCACAAATTAAGTGAATAAATTGTGATAAGTAACCACTTCATGTTTAAGGTGGGGCACATTTTGAGGTTGTATGATAGAAATGTGGTCATGAAGGTGTGCTGTAGGAGGGGCCTTAGTGGCATAACTAATTTGTTAGAAGAAAGATATGGTGGAATTTGCTAGAATCTGATGAGGGGGATTCTGTTAGGGGATTTATCATGTAAATATATATAGGAGAGAATGGCATCACAGAAGGGTATCTAGGAACTTTGACTTTGGACTTGGGAGAGTGTCAGAGCATTTTCTAATTTGCTCTGGCTTTTTTGTTTCCTCCTTCATTTTCTGTTCATTTACATTTTCTTATTACTGTAATTTTCCTTTTGTGCTTTAGATACTGGTGTATTGAAAACGTTGGGTTTGGTCTAGATTCAACTGTATCAATATAATTTCAGTCTTTTCCCTTCTTCTTTTTGTTCAGTTCGTGTTAGAGATATATAAAACCATTAATGTAGCCTCACCTAATAGTTTATGCTTTTGGGTTAAATTAGTTCTTTACATAGTAGCAAAATCTTAGTGTCACGGGTTCGATCCTCACCACCCCCCGTTTAATTAATAATTGATTATGTCTTGTGGAGTTTTTTAGCATAGGTAGGTGGACCTGTGCATTTTCTACCCTTCAAGCCTAGTGGGCTCTTGTGTGAGGGGGCGTGCTAGAGATATATAAAACACTCGAATATAAAATAATATGTTGTGTATTGATCTAATTCAGAGAGTTACAATATATAGAGACCCTAATGGGCTTAAGTGAAAGGCCCAGACCTAATACAATCAGAATATTTACGGATAGGAAATAATCTAATCATATCTAATCAAATCTAATCATATCTAATCACATCTAATATATTCTAACACTCCCCCTTAAGCTGGTGCGTATATATTGTGAGCTCCAAGCTTGTTACAAATGTATTCAACCCGAGGACCTCTAAGAGCTTTAGTGAAGACATCCGCTAGTTGATCAGGAGAGCTGACGAACGCTGTCTTGATTTCTCCTGACTGAATCTTTTCTCGAATGAAGTGACAATCAATCTCTATATGTTTGGTCCTCTCATGAAATACAGGATTAGAGGATATATGTAGCGTAGCTTGATTATCACAGATGAGTGTCATGGGTTGTTTTTGTTCACAAAGATGAAGCTCCTGAATCAACTGCTTTAACCAGATTAACTCACAGGTAGTATTTGCCATTGCACGATACTCAGCTTCTGCACTAGATCGAGCAACAACAAGTTGTTTCTTGCTCTTCCACAAAATTAAGTTTCCTCCAAAGAAGACACAATAACCAGAAGTAGAGCGTCTGTCCGAGGGTGATCCTGCCCAATCAGCATCTGAATAACCACAAATTTCTGTATTTCCCTGATCCGAATACAACAAACCTTTTCCTGGTGCTTCTTTGATGTATCGGAGGATCCTCACAGCAGCATCCCAATGTGAATCACAAGGGGAATCGAGGAACTGACTAGCCGTACTAATAGCAAAAGAGATATCTGCAAAAGAAATATCTGGCCTAGTCACAGTAAGATAATTGAGCTTCCCAATTAGCCTCCGATAACGTCCAGGATCAGACAACGGCTCCCCCTGTCCGGGCAATAACTTGACATTAGGATCCATGGGTGCATCAACTGGTTTACTCCCCAACATACCAGTTTCTTCTAAGATATCCAAGGCATACTTCCTTTGACAAATAGAAATGCCCTGTCTAGATTGCGCCATCTCAATTCCCAAGAAGTAACGCAGCTTCCCAAGGTCCTTTGTTTGAAATGCACTGAATAAATGCTGTTTTAACTGACGAATTCTGTCTTGATCACTTCCGATGAGAATGATGTCGTCAACATAGACTAACAAATAGATGCACTTGTCAAGAGATGTAATCCTATAAAATACAAAATGGTCAGCTTTACTGCGAATTAAGCCAAACGCCTGAACAGCAGAACTGAAGCGACTGAACCATGCTCGAGGAGACTGCTTGAGACCATATAAGGATTTTCGAAGACGACACACCTTCCCAGACTCCCCCTGAGCAACAAAACTAGGTGGTTGCTCCATGTAGATTTCTTCTTGTAAATCACCATGAAGAAAGGCATTTTTGATGTCAAGTTGAAGGAGTGGCCAATGACGAACAGCAACAAGAGCAAGAAATAGGCGAACTGACGCCATCTTAGCGACCGGAGAGAATGTATCGGTATAATCAAGGCCGAAGATTTGAATAAAACCCTTTGCAACTAGGCGTGCCTTGAGTCAATCAACATGGCCATCAGGTCCAACTTTCACAGTAAACACCCAGCGACAACCAACTATAGACTTCTCTGGAGGAGCAGAAACAAGGTCCCAAGTGCCATTGGAATGAAGTGCAGTCATCTCATCAAGCATCGCTTGGCGCCACCCTAGATGGGAAAGTGCTTCACCTGTGGTCTTAGGAATAGAAACAGAAGAAAGACTAGAAACAAAGGTGAAATGAGGTGAAGAAAGACGGTCATAGCTCAAAAAGGTATAAAGAGGATAAGGATTACGAGTAGTACGTGTACCTTTTCTTTGAGCAATGGGAAGAGCCTCTGGTGAAGGATCCGGAGAGGAAGAATCAACAACAGTGGGTGATGAGTCAGCAAGAGTCGAGTCGACAGGAGGCACAGTTTTACGACGCTGATAGGTGAGAAGTGGACGGTCCGCAGGTATAGAAGCAATAGGTTGCTCATCTGGAATAGAAGCACCTGCAGCTGGCAAAGACAAGTTAAGAAAAGGGACAGGAAGAACATGATCAACCTGTGACAACGGAGATGAGATAGAATTAAAGGGTTGTTGATCAAGAAAAGTGACATCAGCGGAAACTAAGTAACGCTTAAGATCGGGAGAATAACAACGATAACCCTTTTGAAGACGAGAATAACCAAGAAAAATACATTTAAAGGCTTTAGATGTTAACTTGTCCTTACCAGGGGTGAGATCATGAACAAAACAAGTACAACCAAAGACATGTGGGGATAGAGGATAGAGAGGAACATCTGGAAGCAATAAGTTATAAGGAATGTCATTATTAAGCACAGATGAAGGCATAGGTTGATGAGAAAACAAGAGGCAAGGACTGCATCGGCACAAAAGTGAAGAGGAACATGCATGTGAATAAGAAGAGTCCGTGCAGTCTCAATGAGATGTCTATTCTTACGTTCAGCTACTCCATTTTGTTGTGGAGTGTGAGGACAAGTAGTTTGGTGTAAAGTACCTTGTTTGGCTAAGAAATTAAAAAAGTCCACAGAAACATATTCCTTAGCATTATCACTACGTAAAATATGAATAGAGGCACCAAATTGAGTATGAATTTCAGTAGAAATTTTTTGATAAATAGAAAACAACTCAGAACGGTTTTTCATTAAATAAATCCAAGTGCAACGGGAGAAATCATTAATAAAGGTAACGAAATACCAAAAACCTAAAACAGACATGGTACGACTTGGACCCCAGATATCTGAATGAACAAGAGAGAAAAGGGCATCAGCTTGTTTATTGACTCGACTGGCAAAAGAGGAGCGTGTATGCTTCTCTTGTTGACATGACACACAATCTAAAGACTGAAGACCGGATAAAAGAGGAACCATCTTCTGCAACTTTGAAAGAATTGGATGACCAAGGCGACTGTGGATAAGTTGTGGAGATTCTGTGAGAGAGCATGCCACTGAAGGACGAGGCACCTCCAGATAGTAAAGCCCCCGTGACTCACGACCCACTCCAATCATCTTCCCCGTACCCGGATCCAGCACAGAAACAGAATGGTTAGAAAAAGTAATGGTGCAAGTGAGGGAGTAGATCAATTTACTAATAGAAATTAAGTTATAAGGGATGCCAGGAATGTAATAAACAGATGTCAAGGCCAAGGTAGAGGTCAGACGAGCTTGTCCAATCCCATGAACTGGAGCTTTGGTTCCATCAGCAAGGGTAAATGAAGGTAAATGATCAGAATATGTAAGAGATGTAAAGAGTTCCTTATTACCACAGAGATGATCGGTAGCACCTGAGTCAAATATCCAAGTGCCAAGTGATGTAGATTGAGAAACACAAGCAACGGGATTACCAGTATATGGAGCGGAGGGCTGAGACTGAGGAGAAGCCTTCTTGAGAAGAGTGTGGAGCGCAGCATAGTCCGCAAGTGAGAGAGAAACTGAACCAAATGATGCATTGTTTGATAGCTGAGCTATATTCGCAGCAAGAGAGGTGGCCCAATTCTTGTAATTAACAGAACCCTTTAATTTTGAAGAGGTAATGGACCCAACATTGGTAGAGATGATATTGGGAGAATTTTTGACAGGAGGAGGTTGAGAATTGACTTCCGAATGATCAGAATCATTTGCTGCCATAATATTATATAGGAGATGATCAATTCTGAAACAAAAGATTTTTTTTTTCGTGAACAGTACCTGTACGGACAGGGTGAACAGTGCCTGTACGGACGGGATGAACAGTGTTTGTGCGGACGGTGAACAGTACGGTACGGCCGCGATGAACAGTGAAATCGTATGGGACGGTGAACAATAAACTGTACGGACGAGGTGAACAATATTTTTTTTATTTTTTTTTTGAAAATCGCATGAACAGTGTAGAACTAAGCCGGAGGGACGCACGGCGTTAGAGGAAGGAGAGAACGCCTAAGTAGTGGGCTTAGAGTTTTAGCGGAAGCGAAAATTCCCAAAACAAAGAGCTCTGGTACCTACTTGAATATAAAATAATATGTTGTGTATTGATCTAATTCAGAGAGTTACAATATATAGAGACCCTAATGGGCTTAAGTGAAAGGCCCAGACCTAATACAATCAGAATATTTACGGATAGGACGTAATCTAATCATATCTAATCAAATCTAATCATATCTAATCACATCTAATATATTCTAACAAAAACCATTAATGTAACCTCACCTAATAGCTTAAGCTTTTGGGTTGAATTGGTTCTTTACATAATATCGAAGCCTCAGTGTCACGGGTTCGATCCTCACCACCTCCATATTAAATAATTAATTAAGTCTCGTGGAGTTTTAATTAAGTCTCGTGGAGTTTCTTAGCACAGGTAGGCTGGACCTGATGCATCATCCACCATTCAAGCCCAATGGGCTCTCGTGTGAGGGAGCGTGTTAGATATATATAAAACCATTAATGTAGCCTCATCTAATAGCTTAAACTTTTAAGTTGAATTGGTTCTTTGCAGTTTGTATCATTCATTGTAACTTCTCAAAATTGGCAGAGGAAAGAATTGAGTGAAACGTTTTGGTAAGTAACTACTTTGTGGTTCATACATCTTGGTAAAGTTTTGGACCTAATGAAATTGAGGAGGATGATTAGATTTGAAGAAGATAGTGGATGAGTTCAAGAGGAGCAACTGCAGTGCCATTTTATTGTATAATGAAAACGTTATACCCATAGTCCATTTTGTGTGGTTTGTCATGCTTTGCAATGAAGAGAATTGGTTATTAGTAATTTACAAGTTGATTAGATGTTTGTGGTGTGCACAATGTGATGTTGGATAAATTGTGCTATATAAAAGTTTGCCAGTTATGCTATGCCAAGGTAAAAGTGGCAATCGATTATGGTAATGAAAGGATTTCCCTAGGGAGACCAAGATGATTTGGGGTTGAAGTAATAAGGAAAACAATCGCAGCTTGAGGCACATTATTGGTTACAATTTTAAATAATAACTGTTTTTAATCGAATTTTTATAACAATCTGGTAAACAAGATCTCATTTGTTTGGATTAGCTCTATGCCCTCATGAAATTTAGCACTTGTAGTATTTGGGATTTAACTTGCATGATCAACAAAGTCTGCAGTAAGTGCACTCCAGTGTTCTAAATTTTAACAAGAAAAAGTTGTTCTGAATTTTGAGTGCATTTTAGCAATTGAATTAATTTCAGAGTTCTTATACAGGGATCATCACAATCTGGTCAGGTGCTTACTCCGGCTGAAGTTTTGATTGCTATTCATGGAATTGACCCTGAAAGAGATGGAATTCGCTTAAAAAGAGTAGGTCTCTTATGATTATTGGTTTAATGCATCAAAGCTCAATCAAGATACATTTTGAATAACTGAAGTGTTTATATGCAGGTCACAGATGCATGCAATGCTTGCTTTGAGCAGCGGAAAATTTTCACTCAAGAAGTTCTTGCCAAAGTTTTGAATCAATTGGTGTGTTTTATGGGAATTGTTTTACATATTTGGAATGCATATTCGACTTTGTTGATCTTTTATGGCAAATGCTTTTCCCTGCAGGTTGAGCAAATTCCTCTTCCTTTACTGTTCATGCGAACCGTATTACAAGCAATTGGTGCTTTTCCAACACTGGTAAGAAGCTTACTTATTCAAGGAAATGTAATAATGCAAAGTTTATTGTGTACCAGAATTCAGGAATCCGACCAGTAATTGATTGTTTAGAGCTATCATCTAGTTTTGAAATCCGATATAGATTCATCAAACAAAGCTGCTTATCTTTTCCCTAGATGCCCCATTAAGATGCTACCTTCGATTGATTTAATTCCTTTTCTAAATTAAAAAACTTCCCATGTTATCTGCTGTTATTGTTTCTTTTGAATTTTATATATTTTTACAAAAATTATTGACTTTTTTACTTTTTTATAGGTTGACTTTATAATGGGGATTCTTTCTCGCCTTGTGAGGAAGCAGGTGCTTGTTTTATTAATTTCATTTTTGTCAATTCATTCAGTTGTTCAGAGTACTTATGCATGACTAAATGAATTGCTGTAGATATGGAAATACCCAAAGTTGTGGGTGGGATTCTTGAAGTGTGTGCAATTGACGAATCCTCAATCATTTGGCATTTTGCTTCAGGTAATATTGTCTGTTTACTCCTCTTGTCAAGAACTAATTTTCATTCGTAACTTGTTGAACAGTCTATACTCTAATCTCCATCACGTAACATTCTCAAAAGGTTTTCATTATATTTGTTCATCGCCATACCCTTACATACCTATTTTATATGATGGAAGTATAATTGAAATATCAATCATTAGTATTATTAAGGATATTATAATCTTTTATATTTGGGATTTTCTTATTCTATTCTTTTTACTGTTTTATTGCTTGTATAGATATTTTTCCTAGAATAGGTTAGGTGTACTTATTTTAGAATTTATCTTTCTAGCTGAGCTGTCAACATGCAGCTCCACTGTATTACATATTGTATTGTTCATGCTTTATTATTGAAGAAAAGAAGAAGTGGAAGAAGTGTTTTGTCTGAATAATACTTTCTTGATTCATTGAGAGATCCAATGGGTCCTTTTTATATTGAGTACATCCAACTACCTCAACTACTTTAATAAATATACAACCACCAACTACATCAATAAATATACAACTACTAACTACATCAATAAATATACAACTACTAACTACATCAATAAATACCATCTAGAATATTCTACATATTCTACAATTATCAATTAGAAAATATATATAACATTTACATTTTACCGCTGCTCTCTCTCTCTCTCTTCTTCTTCTTTCCTTTCTTATTTGATGGGATCAGAGCTCTCTGAGGGCCTAAACCAAAATTCTTCCCTACCCAATGGCTTCTGGCGAATTCAAATTTGGGTTCATTGCTCATCATGTAACAGTGAAGCTCACTGAAAACACATGATACCGCCTTGATACATTTCTGAAGAGGATCCTGCTATAGATCAGATCAACCCAGATTACATTGAGTGGGAAACCCAAGATCAAATCGTACTTTCATGGCTAATGACTACTCTGACAAAACCAATTGTGAACAAAGTCCTTGGTCTCGTTCATTATTGGCAAGTCTGGGAGAAAATACACAAATATTTTCATGGGCTCATGAAATCAATGGCACGACAGCTATGAGCTCAACTAAGGATAAAAGTTGTGGAAGAACTATTCATGAGTGAGGATCTTGCTTGAGTAGAATCTCTCGCTTATGGACCCATGGGCTATTGGGTCTCCAATTTCTAAGGAAGAGCAAGTGAAACTCATTCTCGAAGTTGGACTTCCACAGGAGTATGACTCCATGACCACGATACATGCACATGATGATGACCATGAGATTGAACTTCTTGCTCATGATTCCAAGTTCATTAAACATAACAGATCTCTGATTACTGACTCAATGGCTGTCAATGTAACCCATCAACCTGATACTTCTTCTCCGAAGCCCACCAACTCTTGTACAACCCAATATCCCTGTTTTTCATTCTCCTGAACAGAGTATGCAGTAGCAGCGGTTTGGAGGCATGTTTGACTGTAGAAGAGGTCGTGGCCGTGTCAATGACAGAAGAAACAGAGGTAGGGGAAAAGGAAGACATGATCTGCAATGTCAACTCTGTTATAAATTTGGCCATAAAGTACACACATGTTGGTACCAATTTGACCCAAGTTTTGTTCCCACTCAGCCACCTCCACCTAATCCTCAATTCTTCGGTCCATTAATGGCTTTAACTTCATAACAAAACACCCTACCTAATCAGCACCCTTTTTTCTTTGCAACTCCTCAAACAAAGCAGAATGTTAATCGGCTCCAGAATTCCTTCTCTCTCAACAATCATCAGCCACATTATCAACTAGGAACACATCAAAATCAATCTCAAGCGTTGCTGACAACTCAAGTCACTTTCACCTAATAATGTAGGCTTGCTTCCTACTCCATCCAGTTAATCACAAAATCTGGAATGGTTCCTGGATTCCGGTGCTTCCCATCATCTGGCGTTAGACCCATGGACCTTCTATCAGAGCACACAGCTGACTAGAGCTGAACAAGTCATGTTAGAGAATGGTCAAGATTTGGCACTAACAGCTGCAGGCTCTTTCCAATTCTCTTACCTTCTCAACTACACACTACCTTTTTTCTTAATCATCTACTAGTTCGTTCTATTACAAAGAATCTAGTCAGTGTTAGTAAGTTTGCTAAGATAATTTTGTCTATTCTGAGTTTCGTTGTCATTGTTTTTTGTGGAATCCAGGACTCTCACCAAATTCTTCTTGAAGGTGTTCTTGGTAGTAGTGGCTTGTATCAGTTCAAGTACACCTCTCCTCAACAATATCCTTCTTGTGTTTCTTCTTGTCTCACTACTACCTGTCCAGCAACTACTTTATCTCCAAGTTATACTTCTTGTTCTTTTACTGAATTATCAACTGATATTCAAGATATAGACACTTCTTCCACTTATGCTGTGATAATAGATTAGTTCATCCTCATCCCAAGGTTTTAAAATTTGACTTGAAGTCTTGTAATATTCGGTTAAGTAATAATACTTCTTTTGAAATCTGTCCAGTGTATTGTATGTCATAATAGATTGGTTCATCCTCTTCTCTAATTGAAACTCAATTCAAGGTTCCCATCAAAGTTTCAGACAGATTGGGGAGGTGAATTTTAGACCCTTCACTAAATATCTAAATTCATTTGGTTTTCTGGGACTCATTTCTCCATATACCCATCATCAAAATGGACTTGTTGAACGCAAGCATAGACAAACTGTTGATATGGATTTGACTATGTTAGCTCATGCTTCCTTCCTTATCTTGTGAATTTTGGGACCATGCTTTTCTTTCAGCTATTTACCTTATTAACAGAATGCCTACTGCAACCTTGGATTTTGAAGTTCCTTTCACAAAGCAATACAAAATACAATCTGTCTTTTCTTTCATCAAGGTCTTTGGGTGTGCCCGCCGTCCTCATCTAAGACCCTACAATCAACATAAGCTACAATTTAGGTCTCGAGTGTGTTTATGATGGGCCTATAATAAATAATCCAAGCTCATTAGTACTTTAGAATTAGTATATATAGAAGTTTAGGGTGATGTTTCTGTTAGGCATGTATTCAGAGTTGGTTAGTGGGGAAATGGGAGACCTCTAGGGAACTCTTGAGTCTAGGTGTTTGGTTTGAGGGGGAGTTGAGGCTTTCTTGGGGTTTATTTTCTGCATATTAGTGTATGTAAAAGAGGCATGGCCTCCATTATCTCTATAATTTCAATGTTATTTTTCTGGTTCCATCAATTTGGTATCAGAGCATTTCCGATCTAGGGAGTGCTTTTGGTCCATATCTACAAAAACAAAAACAAAAACAAAATGGAAAACAACAGACTGGAGAGGAGCTTGGATCGAGTGGAAGAAGGAATGGATCGAGTTGAAGATGTTGTTCATCAACTTCAAAAAACAATGTGGACATTAATAGAGCGCATGGATCCTTGTTTTGCAGAAGGAAAAAAAGTGAAAATCAAAGAAGCAAAAGCGAACAAAAAAAAACGAAACAAAAAAAGGAAGAAACAAAGAACGAAAACACAGAAGAAGATGGAAGCACAGTAGAAGAAGAAGCAATCGAAGAAACAGTAGCATCAGCCAAATAAGAAGAAAAAGAACAAAAAAAATCGAAAAAAAAATCGATAAAGACAAAACAGAAATTAAAGTGGAAAAAATCGAAGCAGAAGAGGATGTCAATGACATAGCAGAAAAAAAAAAGGGATGACGAAAACGAAGAGGCAGAAGAAAATGAAACAAGAAGAACTAAAAAAAACGAAGGAAAAGAAGAAAAACAGATCAGCGATGTAGAAGACAAAAAAATCAACAGGCGAAGAGGAAGAAGAAGAATCACACAGATCTGGAACTAGCACAGGAGAATCGCATGAAGAGGAAAGATCAGAGGTTGAAGAAGACCAAGTCAGATCTGGAATAGGGAGACGACGCGCACACATATCTGGAAACAGCATGGAGACTGAGCACGAACAGTGACAACGATCACGAACGGTTGCAAGGACAGTGGCACAAGGAGCTCAGGCCATCGACTTTGCTGCTCATCGGAGAAGATCACTGACCAAGGAGGAAGAAAGGGAGAAGAGAAGAGAACGGATCGGAGTATCGTTGAGTCCTTCAAGTTACGGGTCAGGGTTTGGGGTTAGCTTCCACACTAGGCTTGCACTTACTAATTGGGCTTCTGGTGAGGGAAGCTATGGGCAAGGCCCATTAATCAGCAATGGAAGACATGGGCCAATGTTTACGGGAACAAGAAACTTGCCCACTTAGGGAGGCAAAATGGGAATTTTCATGAAGGAAAATAATGGGTTGTGTGGGGAAACCCATTTTGGGCCTCATGTGAACCAGAGAAGGCCCAATATTTCTGAACTGCAGTTACGCGCAGGTGCAGGGGAGAAGACGATGATAAACAAGGAGGAGGAAGAAGAAATTCGACAATGGAAGACAATGACATTTTTTGAAAATTCATTTGGTTCAAGAATTGCAGCTGACATTGGGGTCAAGAGGCTTCAAAATATGGGATCCTGGTGGGAGTTTGTTCACACCACCTATCTCCTCTCTAGGTGAATTTTGAAAGGGGAGTATTGATGGGCCTATAATAAATAATCCAAGCCCATTAGTATTTTAGAATTAGTATATATAGAAGTTTAGGGTGATGTTTCTGTTAGGCATGTATTCATAATTGGTTAGTGGGGAAATGAGAGACCTCTAGGGAACTCTTGAGCCTAGGTGTTTGGTTTGAGGGGGAGTTGAGGCTTTCTTGGGGTTTATTTTCTGCATATTAGTGTATGTACAAGAGGCATGGCCTCCATTATCTCTATAATTTCAATGTTATTTTTCTGGTTGCATCAGTTTATTACTTGGTTACTCTCCTAATCTCCAAGGGATATAAATGTTTAAGTGCTGATGGCAGATTGTATATCTTTAAGGATGTTCTTTTCCATGAAAATTACTTCCCATATTCAGCCGTATTTACCAAAGACATTTCTGATTTGTTGAGATATATAAACCATTACTGTAGCTTCACCCAACAGCTTAAGCTTTTGGGTTGAATTGGTTCTTTACATGG